AAATCCACCTTTTACCAAATCCAACCAGTTTGCTTCATACAATTTTGGACCAATAAGGAAGTTCAGATCTGTGATCCTCTCATCCTCTCTCACAAGTGTGGCTGCAATTATATTGATCAATAAATTAAGACTTCCACGGAAAAAGATCAAGGCTAAATGTAGGCAATAATTCAAATCCAATATTATCAGACTTACCAGTGAGACCCAGCTTGCAGTGAGACTTAGTAAGGCTAATGACCTTTCGAAACATTTGAGCAGGAACAACGTGTACCTAAATATAAAAAGGACATAGTTAGTATTTTATAATGCATAAGAGATATACATAATCTTATGAGTAAAGAATCCAAAAAAAAAAAAAAAAAAAAAAAAAAAAAAAAAACCATCAGAAACCATGATCAAACCAAACATTCTAGGAGGATGTAGTTCATATTCTATAATGCATATGAGAAGTACATAATATAATTACGAGTAAAGAGTCAAACTCCACAATATAATGTAATTACCTCATCCATGAGAAGCAATCCCCATTCTCTATTTCTTATTTCTTCAATAATCTTTTCAGATTCTTCAGACCTCTTGCCACCAAAGGCAACCATGTTATATGTTGTCACAACCACCCCGGCATTTCCACGGAACCTTTCTTTACTATCAGATGTGAAACGACAAATTTGCTCATCACGGATGGTAGACCACAACTTGAACTGAAAAGCCCACTGATCAACAGAAACAGCATTTGTTGCTAAACAAAGGCAGCTCTTTCTTATTCGGGAAGCCGCAGAAACACCAACTAGAGATTTTCCGGCACCACAGGGTAGCACAATAATTCCAGATCTTGCTCTCCCTGAAATATTAAATAACAAAGTTGAAATAAAAAGCGTACAACTCACAGCCAGAACAAAATATGTTTATCATTGCTTAAGTCATTAGAAAAGCATTGTGAAAAAACCCACAAACAGCAACACCAAATCCATGGAAAGTTGGCAACTCCTGAATATTTTTTTGCAGGAATTAAGGTCAACAATAAAAGGAAAACAAAAATGTGTCCAATAATGCAAGATAGATATGTTCTCTTTTCATCGCTATGCTACTGCTTATAGACAGTTCTTTGACATGGTAATCTGACCAAAATGGAACAAGCATAGTTAAATTGAACGAATTTTGATGATTAAATAACCTCTTCAAATGATGCTAAAATTTGCAAGAAACCATACCGTTCCCAAACATTTTACTCAAGCTCTTCTCCTGATATGGTCGTGGTTGCGCTTGAGGCTTCAGTTCCATATCAAGATCAGGGTTAACCTGCAGTGTGAAAAGAGCAATGGGTGTGATAAAAAATAAAAGAAAAAGAAACTCCAAGATTGTGGTTGATTTGTAAACGATTAATAATTCAGTGCAGGGAGAAGGTAAGTCATTAACTCACAGTATCATTTCTGAAGTCATACTCCTCCAACATGGGATAGTTCAAAGCATTAGGCAAGCAACGTTCCTTAACATTTTCAACCTGACAATCATTGAAATACCATGCTGATCTAAAGCCACAGAGATCCAGAGATAAAATGCTTTACTTAAAAGATAAAAGGAGTCTAAAAAAAACAATATGTTCACATTCATTGATTGCTTATCTGTTTATTGTGATGAAACCTAATTACATCAAATAGATGGGAACATTGCCATTAGAAAGTTACAAATGCAAGCCCAACTTGCAGACTAAGCACATCAACAAATGTACGAGAAAATTACCAAAATGTCTTTCTGAAAACGCCTCTCCCCATCCCTCCCAAGAAATAAATTAAACTTCTTGATTTATATACAGCAACAAAGTATATCTCTTCAGGGGAGTCTGGATAATATGAAACTGCATCAGACTTGTCCATTATTCCGACCTTGTCAGAAGTGGACCAACATATGGTGCAGCATGAAGCATGCATAACCAAGGGCTTCACTTTCAGAAAGATAAAGTAGAGTGAGGGTCTACGCTGTGATACGGATGTAGCATAACCCAACGATACAGATAGAATTGGGATTAGGACCATTACTTATTTGGTTTCCTGTTTGTTATTTATTTCCAGTTTTATTATTTTGCTAGGATCACATTATTATTTTCCAGTTTTATTATTCTCCTATTCCTAGTAGGACCATTACATCAGATACTGATACCAAGCATGACCCAGGGAGACAGCTAACAATGGGAAATAAGGGGCTTCAGTTTTCAAATTACAAACAAGCTACCTGTGTAGGATCGACTTCAAATGCATGAGTTTCTTTTTCTTCAGCCGCAGCTGCCAATTCTGCTTCATTTAGCAAATCACTGGGACCAGCTCCAATTTCACCCATTGTTTTGCTAATCGTAAATCCATCACTTCCACGAGAACCCTATAAAAGAACTCAGATGTATATCGACGTCAAAACATGTGCATCCATGCACATTCATACACAAGGGAAATTACAGAAATATACTGTTAAAGAACTAAATGGTTAGCTAAATTTCAATACAACGATCAAGCTGCTTAAGCACACATGAAGTTAATATACAGATTCTAGGCAGACCAAGGTGCAAACCTCAGAGATAATCCTTGATTTAGATATAACTTCGTCCTTAAGCAATGTCTTCAATACCTGCAAACCACTTACAACAATAATTTAATAACCAAAACATTTGTATCCATAACTGATAACTGGAAAAAGGCATAAAACTCTTGCCTCCGGGAATGGGGATTCGACAAAGTACCGATTCTTCTTAAGCACAAGCTTCACTTTGCCGTAATTCGCAGTAGAACCATGTATGAAATCAATCATTTCTTTGGGGAGCTTGGTCTTTGACAACTTATTCAAAACAGAAATGATGGTTTCCGTTTCAAGACCAACTGACACAGCGGCATACAACGAATGCGGGGTCAAATTGTACTCATGCATCGATTCTGGCCTATCAATCAAGTCCCGATAGATAATAAATGTTTGATCATTCAAAAAATAAATACATGGGCAGTGATAAAAATAGTGTTTGGACTCAAAAATTGATACCTGCAAACGGGTTCTGCAATGGCAATGAGAAAATCATATGCTTGTTTGTACAAAGGTGAGAAAGTTTCGAGGAAAATTCGGCCATCAGCGCAAGCCCATAAAGGCCGATTGATGTGGTCCGGTTTCAGTTCTAACTTGGTAAAGTCCCTCTTTTTCCCTTCACCTTTAATCAATCAATGTCAGTCACAATTTACCCAACTTAATCAAAACCCAACATTCCAAAACCCATAAAAAAATCAAAAGAACAAAAACCAATTTCAAATGTAAAAAAAGGAAACCAGTCTATGAACAACAAAGCAAATACACACCATCTCGAACATCGTCGTCGATATCTTCGCCACCGAAATATGCGTCTTCGTCATCCAGTTGTGTGATTTCCTGGATATAACACCTGAACTTATCAACACTATACATCGGAATAAATATATGCAGAAATTACCAAAAAAAAATCAGAAAATGAGTTTTGAAACAAATAAGAAGCAAAACCTTAGCAGAAAATTTGAGCTTTTTACTGGGTCGGCCTTTATCACCTGAAAGATTGAAACTTATAATTGGCAGCGTCAATTCCTCTAAATTCTGAAAGGAAAATACAACAATAAAAAGGAAATAAATTACCGTGCCCCATTGTTGTTTTTGCAACTGAAAATTGAATTAGGGTGAATTTCAAGTCTGATTAATTTTATTTTCCTTCGCTTTTCTTTTTCCTCTCTGTGTTCGCTTTGAGGGAGATCAGAATGCTCAGAGCTCCGGTTATGTTGTATTTATACTGCTGGGGAACCGCCTGCGCCAAAGTTCGAAAGCGATTGTCGCGTAATCAAGCCACGTGCGAGGCACGTGTTGGACTTTAAACCGGTTCAGACCGGGTTGAGGTGAACCAAATGTTCTGGGGGCGGGTAATTAATATCCGTCTTTTTATAATTGGAAAAACAACAACACAACATTGGTGTAAATGATTTTTTCGATCTATCCTCCTCTTGAATTTGAGTTCATTTCTAGTCGACGAATCATGGCATGAACAGTCTTCATTTCCAAATAAGATTGATGACTTTCTATAACAGTTCTTTTTTTTTTGAGGGGGGGATTGAAACTTCATATTGCAATTTGGGCAGCATTGTAACAATAAAAAATCAGCATAGCCAACCCAAGTAATAAGGCGACTTAAATACTTGTTTCTTAATGAATAGTAAGGTGAACATTACGTTAAACATAACCTCTAGTTATTTGTGTGTTCTTATCATGTGCATCATTTAACCTAATGTGATATAAGATCAACACTTTTACCTAATATTGATTTCATTCGAGGCACAAAGTACTAGACTCAATATGAGGTGAATTATAATTCACATGTGTTGAGTAATTGCAAAGAATGAATTGTTATGAATAAGTGATTGTGAATACTTGCGATTTTAACATAATCTATCACTAACGTACGCCTACGCCTAATAATATATTTTAAAAAATTGTTGAGACATCTTAACAATGCGAGAGCAAGAGTGATTGAACTTTATAACCCCTGATAGTCAATCATGATAATAAAAGATAAAAATGGCATACAACACGTTACATATAAGTCACTCCATATATCGAGACCAATAATGTTGGCCTTGCGATTACTTGTATATCTTTTATGTCACCATTGTCTCTTCTATTTTGTAAAGGGGTAGAATTGTTATACTGAGAAAAAGTACTAGAACTTTGTGTGTAATGGTTAAATTGAAGGGTGGATCTAGAAAAGCCCCAACACACCCCACGCCCCAAGCTGCTTGCTACACAACTAGAGGAGGTGAGCTCGCTAGTCAAAACCAAAAACCGGTCCGGTTCAGTAGCTACTTCTCCCACCGGTTCGGATTTAAGACAGCCATTTCTTCATCGGTTTATTTCTTTTTCTGTCGTCTCTTTTAGACGAAGCATTTTGGTCTCTCAGGCATTGCGTTGTAGACTGACAGCGAGAGAGAGGAGGAGACGACTCGAGCAAAGAGATGAGCGGGCACGACTCCAAGTACTTCTCCACCACCAAGAAGGGTGAAATCCCTGAGCTCAAGGAAGAGCTCAATTCTCAATACAAGGTTCCTCTCTCTCTCTCTCTCTCTCTCTCTCTCTCTCTCTATACATATATATATGTATACATCTAGCTATACAAACACATATGTGTATATGCATATTGATCTATGATCTAAGTCAATTAGGTTTTTTACTCTTAGGATTGTTGGGAGCAGATCTGTTAGTTTACGCTTTGAATTGTTGCTTAAATTGCTGTTTGATTTCTTCGAATTCTGTTTAAATGCCGTTGTAGGGTTTCAGAATTGTTTGGATCCAGTGCGAGTTGTTAATGAGCTTTCTGTTCTGTTTGGGGCGGGAGAAACTGATGGAAATGAAAAGAAAATCTGCTCTTTTGTTTTTAGATTCTTCTCTTAGATTGAGTAGAATTTAAATGCGGTTTCCTTTTCTTATTTCCTAGTAACAAATCGGAGCATTGTTGATTGCTTACAGTAAAGTGAATTGTAGTTTTACATGATCTGTAGACATTTCTAATATCTTTATAGTGTATGAGTATTTCTCCTTCTTGATTTGTCTTCATGACTTTAAACGCTTATTTTTACCATTAAATTATGTTTTTCTTTTCTTCGGGTGCGTGTTAGGGCCATATTGTTTTCCACCAAAATTTTGACTAGTGCTTGCCTCATTGTTTTCATTTCAGAATTATCCTTCTCGTGTACTTTTACTTTATCAGAAACTTTGTGATCATAATCTTCTTTTATGTGTTGTATAGGATAAGAGAAAAGATGCTGTTAAGAAGGTGATTGCTGCAATGACTGTTGGGAAGGATGTTTCATCTCTGTTCACAGATGTAGTGAATTGCATGCAAACAGAAAATTTGGAGCTGAAGAAGCTGGTCTATTTATATCTGATAAATTATGCTAAAAGCCAGCCTGACCTAGCAATACTTGCGGTGAATACATTTGTCAAGGTAAAACTGTAATGAAACCCAGTCTTTTACAGTTCATCACTACACATCTTCATGTGAATAGGTCATGTCAATTCAGACATTTTTATTGGTAAATTATATGCTAGTAAATAGGAAACTAAAATAGAGGCAAAATGCTGCCATTTGATCATAAGTTAATGGGCGAAGCATATGTGTTAAATGCTGACATTGCATGCTTCAAGAGTGTGTATTTGACAAATCCCATTAGATAGGTTTTGTAAAAAGAGGTTATCATGCTAAAGCAAGTAGAAATGGGATTCTTCATATCATATTTAAATTTCAAGTCAATAACATCATTTGTCTTCAATTCTCCCTTTAATCCACTTATTGTCTGTCTTTAAAATGGACAAAGAGATGTTCCAAGTATGACGTTAAGGACAGCCGAGTTGTTCTGATGGTACCTCCAACAGATTTCACCCTTCTTTTTAACAGATGTGCTTAACATCTTTAGGTTAAAATTATTTTGAAGTAAACATTTATATAATAATGCTCGATTTTGTTTCTGATGAACTTTGTGTTGCATGATCAATTATGCAGGATTCACAAGACCCAAATCCTTTGATTCGTGCTTTAGCTGTCCGGACGATGGGTTGCATTCGTGTCGATAAAATTACAGAATACCTTTGTGATCCCCTTCAGAGGTGTCTCAAGGTTGATTTTTCAAGCTAATACTTTTTTGGGCATGCTTGGTTGTTGAAACTTAGTGTTAAATGTATTAATAGTTTTCAGCTTGCAGTCTTTACTTCTCAACATTTTGAAAAGTATTTTACTTGGCTTGCATCTTGCTATCTGTATCTTAGTTTTGTGTACTTTATGACAGGATGATGATCCATATGTTCGCAAGACAGCAGCCATATGTGTTGCCAAACTTTATGACATAAATGCGGAGTTAGTTGAGGATAGGGGTTTCCTGGAATCTCTCAAGGATTTGATATCTGATAATAATCCTATGGTTGTAGCAAATGCTGTGGCTGCTCTGGCTGAAATTCAAGAGAATAGTAATAGACCCATCTTTGAGATCACTAGTCACACTCTATCAAAGCTTCTTACCGCCTTAAATGAATGCACAGAGTATGTGTACTGTCAGTAGTACTTATTCAATTATTTTTATGCATTGAATACATTTACTTCTGACCTACTATTTATCCACTGCAGATTATGTTGTTCTGTTTTATCTTTGCTGAGATCCTTTTCAATTGTTTCTCTAACTTGATTATGATACATGTTCAGGTGGGGTCAAGTTTTCATATTGGATGCTCTTTCTAAATACAAGGCAGCAGATGCTCGTGAAGCTGAAAATATAGTAGAGCGAGTTACACCACGACTACAACATGCTAACTGTGCTGTTGTACTTTCAGCTGTTAAGGTGACAATTCCATTTTTTTTAATGTTCTGAATCGTATTGTCCTTGTGCTTTGAATTATCATAATCTTGATTACTTCCATCATTGTTTTGTCTTTTCCCTACCTTTTTACTTGCAGATGATCCTCCAACAAATGGAACTTATCACTAGTACTGATGTCGTCAGAAATCTTTGCAAAAAGATGGCTCCTCCACTTGTGACACTACTCTCTGCTGAGCCTGAGATACAATATGTTGCCTTGAGAAACATCAACCTTATAGTACAAAGACGGCCTACAATCCTTGCCCATGAAATAAAGGTAAATCAGTATCAGTCTTGACTCTTGCTGCTTGATCCAAAACTGTACACGCATATATGCACACTAGTAGCTGATTTTTGTTTTTGACTATGCAAGGCAAGCTTACATAGTTCTCAATTCTTTTCTAGGTATTCTTCTGCAAGTACAATGATCCGATTTATGTAAAGATGGAAAAGTTAGAAATCATGATAAAGCTTGCTTCAGACCGAAATATAGACCAGGTATGTAAATCTTTCCAGTAGTTACTATTTCATATTACACTTGAACGGTTGAAAGATGTCACAATCAAAATCATGCTTACTGGGCTTCAGCTGCCAGTGCCACCATACCGAAAAATCATGCTTTCTCCAACATTTCTGCAGGTTTTGTTGGAGTTCAAAGAGTATGCTACAGAAGTAGATGTGGATTTTGTTCGAAAAGCTGTCCGTGCCATTGGTCGCTGTGCCATCAAATTAGAAAGAGCAGCTGAGCGGTGCATTACTGTTCTACTTGAGCTGATAAAGATCAAAGTAAACTATGTAGTTCAAGAGGCCATTATCGTCATCAAAGATATCTTTAGAAGATATCCGAATACGTAAGTTCTGGGTTTTTAGTGTGATTCTTTCTTTTATAGTTATTATTGTGATAATGAGGGATTTGTCCCCTCTAAACTTTGTCATGGATTTCTATCTTGATTACAGCTATGAATCCATTATTGCAACTCTCTGCGAAAGCCTAGACACTTTAGATGAACCAGAAGCCAAGGTACTTAGGTTTCTCTTCCTGTTAAAAAATAGTGTTACAGCTCAAAATTTCTGGTTTTGCCTTTTCTCCTGCTAAAAAAAAAGGTTTCACTGCCTAAGCCTTCTAATTTTCACTTATTTTTTTTTTTCTCTCTCCCCCTCAAAAGGCATCAATGATCTGGATAATTGGTGAATATGCGGAAAGAATTGACAATGCTGATGAGCTCCTTGAAAGCTTTCTGGAAAGTTTCCCTGAAGAGCCTGCACATGTCCAGTTGCAATTGCTGACTGCAACTGTCAAACTCTTCCTTAAAAAGCCAACTGAAGGGCCACAGCAGATGATACAGGTTTTGCTTTTGTATTATCCATCAAGATTGATCCTCTTTGACTTCTATTATCCTTCATTTTCAGTAAATGACTTATTAAAATGTGTAGTACCATCAAGGAAGCAACTATATTTTTGTTTAGATTGTTGCAATAGAATGTAATATCTAAGAGGCAAATGCATTCTCTTTTTTCTATGAATTAGAATGCCTAAGGTTTATTCATTATTTATTTTTGAAAGTATTTCCTTGCTTAATTGGACCAAAATTGTTTAGATATGATCTAAGTAAAATTCTTACTTTGTAGACTTATATGTGCAGGTTGTTTTGAATAATGCTACTGTGGAAACGGATAATCCCGATTTACGAGATCGGGCATACATATATTGGCGCCTTTTATCAACTGATCCAGAGGTGGGTTTGGCCAAAACGACTTGCAGTTTCTTTGTCAATATAATAGCTAATATTTGGCCTACTTTTTCTGTCCCTCTGTCTTGCTTGAAGTATTTTGTTTCTTTGTCAATCCAATACATACATGGCCTTTTCTTTTTCTTGTACAAGCGCACATTTATATTTCTTTTTTCTTTTGGGAAGGCAAGGGTGGGGATTGGAATCTTCTATTGTGAAGATTGCAACAGATTGCCATTAAAGTGTTGATGCGTATGCAACATACGTATAATTGGCCTGCAGTGAACCTTTAGAAAAACCATAGTTTGACAACTTAGAATAATGTATTATGTTGGGGCTGTACTATTGAGTTGTATGTCTCATGGGCATGCTTCTTATTTCTCAGGCAGCCAAGGATGTTGTGTTGGCTGAGAAGCCAGTGATCAGTGATGATTCAAACCTGCTTGATCCATCTCTTCTTGATGAGCTTCTTGCAAACATTGCCACGTTATCCTCTGTGTATCACAAGCCCCCAGAAGCATTTGTTACCCGTGTGAAGACCACAACCCAAAAAACTGAAGATGAGGACTATGGTAGTGAAACAGGAAACTCTGAATCACCTGCTCATATTGCTGATAGTGCTGCATCCCCACCAACCAGTTCAGGTGCTCCATATGCTGCAGCAAGACAAGCAGCCCCTGCACCAGCTTCGCCTGCACATGCAGCTGCAGCTCCAGTACCAGATTTACTTGGTGATCTGATTGGCCTGGAAAATAGTGCTATCGTCCCTGTGGATCAGCCTGCTTCTCCTGCCGGGTAAGTATAAAGGAGGTTGTATAATGTCTTACTTATGTCATAGATACTTTGTAAAGTGGAATGGAATGGTTGTGGATGAGTCTGTAAATAAAGTTATATATGAGCTGCTGTTTGAGCGAATGAATTATAGGTTTTAAAAAATAAAAAAAAAGAATTTCATTACTTTCATTAGGTACAAAGCATACTATCAACAAACCTTACTGGATTTTCTGACCTTGATTGCAGACCTCCATTGCCTGTCGTGCTACCAGCATCAACTGGTCAAGGTTTACAAATCAGTGCTCAGTTGACACGTAGAGAAGGCCAAATATTTTACAGTTTATTGTTTGAGAACAACACACAGAGTCCGTTAGATGGGTTCATGATTCAATTCAACAAAAATACATTTGGTCTTGCAGCTGCTGGACCCCTTCAGGTAGATATTACTCATGTGATTTTGAGTGGGATTTCTCACCAAATAAAATGTTAACATAAAACATTACTGTCTAATAGGTTCCACAAGTGCAACCTGGGACATCAGCGGGGACTCTCCTGCCTATGGTTACATTCCAGAATATGTCTCAAGGTCCTCCAAGCTCACTATTGCAGGTTGCTGTGAAAAACAATCAACAACCAGTCTGGTACTTTAACGATAAAATCTCATTGCATGTCTTCTTTACTGAGGATGGGAGAATGGAGCGTGCAAACTTTCTTGAGGTAAAATCATCTTGCACCTTCTGTTTCCTTTCAACTTCAGTGTAAGGCCATTTGCATCTTCAATGCTGCAACTTCACGTCCTACTAAGATATAAAACCCCAAATGAAGCGGATAATCTCTGTTGGTTTTTTGTAACTTCTTGATTATATAATTCCAATATACCCATTTAAGAATTACCTAGTTTTGTTAACATAGAAGGGAGCTAGGTTGGGAGATGATAGAATACCATCAATGGACATCTAGCATCCCATTAGGAACATTACTAAAGCAATGCTATGAATTTTTATATTACCTTCTAATTAAAAAGCTCAAGAGGATTTGGTGAAATGAAGATGAAGTGGGTTGTTCGTTAAAAGTGGGAATTTTATTGAACAAAGTTCTGGCAGAGAGATTATATAAAGGAGGTTGAAAAAAGGGAAGAGTAGAGTGGTCTAGAACTTATTGATACAGAGATTCTGATCATTTGCTGGTACTGTAAATTGATTGTACTAAGAGTCTTGATTGTAGCAAACAAAACCTGATGCTTATATCCCCATTGCAGACATGGAGGTCCCTTCCAGATTCAAATGAGATTACAAGGGACTTCCCTGGAATTGTGGTGAGTAATGTTGAAGCGACTCTGGACCGCCTAGCTGCTTCAAACATGTTCTTCATTGCGAAGCGCAAACATGCCAACCAGGATGTGTTCTATTTCTCTGTAAAAATCCCTCGAGGAATACCATTCTTAATTGAACTGACCACAGTCGTCAATAACCCTGGCGTCAAGATTGCAATCAAGACTCCAAGCCCAGAGACGGCACCTCTTTTCTTTGAAGCCATGGAGACGCTCCTCAAGGATTGATTCCGTTTTATATGTTTATATTTTTTGTATCTCTCTTATTTTTTGTTAGCATTTGTAAACTCAGCGTTGGCTATTGAGTTTTTTGTCATCTTTCTGCCATTCTTTGTACTTTAACCTTTCTCATTGCCTCTTAGATTGACCTTGAATTGTTCAAACTTGGGGTTTTATATGTTTCAGTAGTTTCACAAGTTGTAATCTCGATTGAACTTGGTGTCTAAGGTGTGGGTTCAGTTTGTTGGTCGATACTATTATGCAGAGAAATGTACCAGGATTGTTTAAAGCTCTAGTTAAAACTGTTATATTCTTTTCCTTGACATAGGTTTTTTTTTTACTTTTCAAATGATCTCACGTACTTGTTATTTTTTAAACAATGCGCCGTACATTTTCCAATTGATTCTGTGGCATTTACTGGTACTTTAAGTTTGCTCTAATTCTTCAACTCACAAGCAATAATGTGTACAGTAAACTCACAACTCAGTGAGGCTGCTACTGCTACAATTGGAAAAGCAAAATATTTGCTATTTTCAATTGCGACCAGATGATTGTCTGCAATTAGGAATTTGGTACCCCCTTGATGCTTTCAAACTTCAATCCAACGGCTCTCAGTTAAAGATCCACATGCATATCCCAGAATTGGCAGGACCATAGATATGAATTTCCCTCCTTTCCATATTCATGTACCCCCTAAACTTTCACAAGGAAACAACATGGGTTACACTCTTTTTTATCATTTTACATGTTTATGACTTGGTTTTGGTGGGTTTGATAAAAAGCAGAACATGGGTGTGTTCAGTTTATGGGCCATTCACAAAACTTGTATTCTAAGGTTTGCCTTCATATACATGGGTGGTTTTAACTCTTGAATGACCCTCGGTGAGTTCTAAAGTTATGCAAAATGACAGGGATATTCGCGAACACGGGGCTACTGTCCAGCAGTATCCTCATATGTGTTGTGAACGGACATGCATTAACAGCTGAAAGTTACACGAGAGCACTAATTTTCAATCGTTCACATTTTAAACTTACTTACATTTCCGAGTTTGAAAATCAGTCACATGTAGACGCACTATCCTCGGAGTTATTTATGGGTGTGGAGCCTGGACTTCAAAATTTTCTATATCCTTTGTGACTCTATGATTGTAGTTGCCTTGCCGTGCAATTATTAATGTAAGTGACGTTTCATGGTTACTCTATGCCTTTGTCCCATCACAATCATAATCTCTCATCTACCAATACCAGAATTCCATTAGTTTTCTATTCGCTCAAAAGTCATAAATCAAATCAAATGGAACGATTCAGTCATAATGAACCATTTGCAGCGTCGTAAGCTTCTTTGGGAGAAATGATGGGGACCGATGAAACTTGGGTACGAAGTTTCCTTCTTTTAATGAAACTATTTATCTCCCATTTTCTTCCTATCACCATCATATAAACCAATGGAGATCAAACGTCAAAAGTGCATGTTCTGGCTTATTTTTCATTAAAAAAATTTCCAGGGAGAGCTACACGTTCTTAGGACTTGTGTTGTTTGATCCACCTGTTTTCCATAGCTTCATACACCATTCAGTCAACCTATCATATTTATTACACAGAAAATTATCAACCATATGCTAGAACTTGTGTGTTTATACCAGAATCAATAGCCAATAAGAACGGTATGCGTGGACAAGGCATCGGCAAGGGTAGCCCTCGGTACCCCTGGCTGCCGATGGCAAAGTTAGGGCCAATTCACCCCTTTGGCCACGTGGAGCACTCACAACAAATGTCAACAGTCCCACATCAAAATTTTACACAACATGCACACCTCCCAAGACTTATAAAAAGGGGCACAAGTCCCAAAAATGGAGGTAATAAAAACTTACAGCATACTAACCATGGCTCTGTTCAGTTTATGTACTAAATCCGTACTTACTTAAGTATCGAAGAGCCTTTGGCCGGTACCACATCGGTGCCCTAGGTCTTACCGAGCATGCTCTCATCTTGCATATCAGACGCTCTATCGAGGCTCAGAGCATTCCGAAGACTCAGACATCACTAAGTTGAGCCCAAAAGTGTCAAACCACTTTTTTGCATTAACATTGTGCATTAACATATTTGGTTATGTTGGGACTATAGCTACTTTTTAAACGGAAACAAACTACAATTTTGAGACCTCTTTCGATATTGTGGAATGTTGAAAATAAATATCATTAGGCCAATAGCTAGTTGATATTATTTACATGTATCCTTGATAAAGAGGTATGTGACAATATTTAAATTCTCTAACACAATTGTGTGAGTACTACACCGTCACTCGTTTAGACTATCTTTAATTTTCGAGTAAGTTCAAATATGAAGGGAATTACTTAAAAACCAACTTTCATCATTCCGCTTGAACTTAAATTTGGGTGATTGGGTTCCCAAAATGACTCGACCAAAAGGATGTTATTCTCTAAATTCGACTTTGTAATTTGTAAATGGCCTAATGTGGATTGTAAGACTAGGGATTGTCCAAATTAAAAATGAAAATTCTAATTCTGAATAAAGCATTAAACTTTTGGTGAAAAAAGAAAAAGGAAAAGAAGGAATCTGAGTCAAGTGGGCGTGGGTGGCCAACTAAATGCTGGAGCTTCTTCTCCCACTTGCACGTGGGAACTGAGAAAGCAAATCAGCGTTCCAAATTGCATTTGTTTTCTTCTCCTTTCGGGTTTGAGACTGTCTTCCTCCCACCGCGTTAGGGCATCTGAGTTGAGTTGACTCAGCGATTCCACCACCCAGAGGTAAAGCTACCTTCAATATTTTCCCTGATTTCAATCTCCTCGCTGAAAATTAACCTAGAGCTTTAAAGGTCTTTGAGGCCTTTTGGGTTTTTATGCCTGTCAATTTTTCAAGAATTTATTGGTATTTGACTGCTTTAATTTGAATGACTTAAATAGATGTCGGCCATGATAGATATATACTGAGTATTTCGAATTATTGTGTTAAATCTAACAAGAAAAGAACAAAGTTTGAAATTTTGATTTGTATAATTTGTTTGGTTCCTGAGAAAATGCAGGATAAGTATATGAGATTTCAAATATTTTCTTTATATGGGTATTTTGGAAACTTAATTCTGCATTCCAATGAGCTCAATTAAACCTATTTGTAGCTGAACTATGTATTTGTTGTGTGTTTATCACCTCCTATAAAGTAAAAAGATAATACGTTTGCGCACTTTATCTTTTTTATGTTTTTGTGTGTGTATGCATATATGTGTACATGTACACATTCAAAATCTGAATATATGGTTTCAGACCCATTTTTGGTTTTATGAATGAATGTTTGCATGTATGAATGTAAATGTACATTGCGGACATCTATATTCACTTTATAGCTGCACTGAAATTTTCATAATATTGAAGGGCATCTAATATCGTATACTTGTTTTTATGTGTGTACCCATAGATGCCATACCCAAGAGAAAGAAGGTGAGTCTCCATTTTAAGTTATGTTTGCAGTTACAAGTTTGTTCACTTAATAATGAGATGAGTCATATTGGATATAAGTCTCATTCGCTTTTGGTTGTTATTAACTTAGGTCTGCTTCACCACACAGCTCCCCTTCACCTGTAAGAGGCCGCCGGTCAAGATCACTGTCGAGGTCTAGGAGAAGTCGCTCTAGGTATTCTGGAAGTCTCAATTTGTAAATTGTTTTCAAGGTCACATTTTGGAATATTTGTGGTTTTATTCAAACCGAATTAGTGGGTTCGAGCTTTGTTGAGTTGAGTTTAACATTAAACTGGTTTCTCTTGCTGCAGGAGCCAATCTGTTGATGCATCCAATCCTGGAAACAATTTGTATGTAACAGGCTTATCCACAAGGGTCACCTCCAGTGATCTTGAAAAATTCTTTAACAAAGAAGGGAAGGTATGGGTGATTGCACATTTAGTTTTGGAATTGTATATGGCACACAAATTACCCTGAGACAACTTAATGTAGATTTAATTTATTGTTCTATGGGGATTTCAAATGACTGCAACTCTTTTACACAAATATCTTTTGAAAGAAAAAGTAAGGAAAGAACCAACTTGAAAATAATTAAAGTTTCAGTCATTTGAGACCATATTTTGAAATCGGTCCCTTGTTTTTCAACTAGCTATTGTAATTTATATTTGGAGCTACCTAGAAACAAAAGGAGACTTGTGAGTTTCAAAGAAGGGAGTGACTTAGGAACTTCAACAGCCATCCTTTCCATTTACTCTTCATTCCTGAGATTCAAGAGAAGCCTTACAAGTGATTCTTGTAAAAAACAACAACTGTTCTAGTTTCTAACAGTGTGTGCCGAGAAATGTGCTCTCTTTTCTTTCACTGGAGTTTAAATACTAGGTCATTTAAGGAGAGGTGCTCTGTGTTTATTAAGTCGTGGCTTTACGTCCATCTGGAAAGTAATAGCCTTAGAGTACCTTATTAGAGATCATATTTCAAGAAAATTACATATAAGCTCTGGTTTCAGGTTCTGGAATGCCATCTGGTTACAGACCCTCGTACCAGAGAATCTCGTGGATTTGGGTTTGTCACAATGGAAACTGTTGAGGATGCAGAACGCTGCGTCAAATATTTGAATCGTTCTGTGCTTGAAGGTCGATTAGTAACTGTGGAAAAGGTATTAGCTTCTGTCAAAGGATCAAGAAAGTTACTGTGCAGTATGCAGCTAAATTATTTGTACTTTTTATTACTATTATTATCTTATGAAGATTTGCTTTCTTCAGAAATGTTGCCTGATAAGTTTTGGCAGCAGGTCTGGTCACTGTAGCTTCATCGAATTCACAATCTAAGCTCTAAACAGTTGAAACTATCCATTCACGACATGAGTTCTGCGTCGACATTCAAAACTCATCAATTCAAATTCAACTATTTTGCCGAGGGTTGAAACCCCTTTATTCCTCTTTCTTCGTTGGCAACAGCGTCTGCCATGGTTGTTTAACCTTAATATTTAAGATACCCTAGAGCATGGTAAATTCTTCTTGTTGCATTTTCTTTTTGGGCTTATCCTACTTAATCAATCCAAGATATGTATTTATTTTATTTGTTAAAATAAACGTTGGAAGTTGGACAGAAAATCTCCTTGCGGCCAGTAGGTTAGCATGGCATGCCGTTTACTTGTTTTACAGTTAGGAGGGTTACTTTAAGAATATGAGAATAGTTGCACCGTTCTGGACCTTCCAGTTGTGTGGATTATAGTCATCCGCATGGAAGGCGGTTTCCAATTATCTTCAAGTAATGTGTAGTTCCAAGCAGCAGCTTATTGAAGGCACTGTTTACTGCTTTGAGTAAATTGTTGACTTGTTTATCCACCTCTTATTTATCTGCTGTGATGTTATCTTGCATTTTGTGTATATATGCAGGCAAAAAGGAAGCGAGGGAGGACACCAACTCCAGGAAGGTATCAAGGTTTAAGAGATAAAAGAGGTACAGACAATATTTAAGTATTTTTATTTTTCTAGCTATTGTATTTTGTCACTGACCTTGGGCCATCGTTTTCTAAAGTTGGGCCACATCTGCACCCATGTTATTTCCAGATGATGACATGGGTTGGACACCAAATTCTCATTTGGAACTTTTGTCACTCTTATGCTTGTATGTAACTTTGGCCACACTGCCACATGAGGTTTAGTGTGTTAACTATAGGTCTGAGCAATGTGCACTTGGGGTGTATTTTTGGATGTAGAGCCTAGTAGCTAGAAATCTGTGGTCTCCTTCCTGTTCAGCCCCCCTTTTGATTTGTTCATTGAAAGATGAGTTTTAAAAAAGATCACCTTAGAAATCTATGATGTTCATTCTTCTCATCCTGTCCTTGTTATCACAAGTCTATGGTGCCGCTTTCCCTTTGAGATGGGAAGAAGCTGCATTTTGACACAGCATTCAGACACTTACTTTACCATAAATATATGCACTATTCATATATATATATTCATATCTCATATAAACCATGGTTAAAAAGATGCAGGACGTGATCATGATCGTGATCGTAGACGATCTCGTAGCTATTCACCGCGTCGGTTGCCAGACAGAGATCCGTATTCCAGGGACCGTCGAGGAAGATCACGCTCTCCATACAGTAGGAGGGTGGATGAACATTCAGACTCGTACAGGAGGCGCAGGGAACGATCCTTGTCAGGCGGCAGAAACCCTAGATAGAGCAAATTCATCCAAATGTGCTTCTGCTCTTCCCAGCATTAAATTGTTTAATGTCTATGATGTGGGATTTTAAGATCTTAGTACAATTTGCCCTTTTATTTTACCCATCGTTTCCTGTGATGTTGTTGTACTTGTGTTGTATGTTAACAATTTGCTCCAAACAGACACCTGACTAGTTCACTATTGTTATGGCAGCTTTCACATACAGATCTTGTATGCCATATTTGCTGTTTGTTCTTGCAAGTTTATGTTGTGTGGTGTTGCCATAAAAATGTTATTTGTAGATTTCACCTCATCAACGATCTTGGTTCTGCAGACTGTAGCAGGACCACTTGATTACTACCCAAGTTTGAAAATGTAATTTTGATTTACAGCTTAACAGAACATATTAGGCATGTAGTGTAAATATGATTCTTGCTATATTCTAGTCGGTTTAGCGCGGGGCAAGACATGACGAATACGAGTACGTTTGAGATTGCTTTTATAGAAAACGCTTAGGCCTTCCTCCCCTATTGGGTTTTGTTTTCCTCTTCATGAGAAAGTTTGGAAAAATAAGCCAACATTAAATGCACATTTTTAATGAACATTTTATCCCCATTAATAGAATTACAATATAGCATAAAATCATTCTTTTTTGATTTGATTTCATATGGATATAATTGAAAAATTAAACAAACGTTGTTTTACATTCTTGGTTACTTTTCCATGATTACTAAACATGAGAAATAAATCTTTAATTTCCCATCTATTGAAAAAGACATGGAAAATTATTTTCCATCAAAATCTTTTCCGTGAACCAAGAAGGCCTTGCGCTAAGCATTGTTGTTAGAAGTGATTTTATTATACGAACAGTTTAATATCTTTAGTAAGTTCCACAAGCATTTTTAGGTTAATCTGCTAATCGTTATCAAGAGTATTTTTGGTTGAACACATCCGAAGTCCTGTGCTCGAGTCGAGACATCATCCCCAATATCGTTTGAATAAAACCACCAAAACATGATAAAAGCAAGGTCTTGAAGGAAAAAGCGAGGGAAGACTGGAGAGAAAACTAGAAAGAAAAAAAAACAAGGAAGAAAAGGGTACACGTACGAAATATAAAAAAATAAAAATAAAAAAATAAAAAGAGGGAAGATAGATTGAGTAGCCCAGGAGAGGAGAGAGAAAAAGTGCATGTGGGGGGAAGAGAGAAGGGGGCCCCACGCTTTGAATTCCCAAAAATCTGAAAGCGGGATTGTGAGGGAGGAAGGAGACTTTGAGAGTGAGGTAAGTGCGCGCCAGCTGCATTGCTGCATTGCTGCTGCTGCAAAGCAAAGGGCGGACTTCAAATCAAATTTCAAATTTACGCAATTTTTTCTTCTCCTTTCTTTTTCCGTTTTTTTTCGTTTTTCTTTTTTCTTTTTTATAATTACATTATATGAAATGGTACTGGTGGTAAATAGTACAGTTTTTCACACTGTTCTCTGAATTGTACACTTGCTAGGATAAGATCCCACAGCTGTGTTTCTGACACGTGTACGTCATTTTCTCTCTCGAGTGAACGGTCACTTCCGCTTCCGCTTCGGCTTCGGCTTCGGCTAATATGGCTTGGCCTTCTCCTATTCCCAATCTTGAAGTGGACCCGAAGTAAACTTTTTTGAAAAGACCGAATTGCCCCTAATAATTCCAACGAAACCATGGCTGAGCTGAGGAATGTGGGGAGGGAGAGTGAATATCGACCGTTCGAATTCTAGTTGTCGGACAAATGGCGAACAGGTTGTATTGTTCACATGCATTTACGAAGTTGTTGCCTTTTGACGGCTCAATTAGCAAAACCAAATTTTTTTTCTTCATATGCGGGTCTAATTGTACTTGTTTAATGTATGGGATAAATATTTGCCAAATTATATGCTCAAAATTCTTATGTCTTAGATCAAACCTTAACAATTGTACAACATTCTGAACCCAAAAACAAAAAAACTTGTGATTTGTGATGTTTGCATTGCTGGTGTTTTTATTTTTTTATTTGTTTTCTGTTTTTGTAGCTGTTGGTTGGTTAAATTTTGTATAAATATATTGGTGTGAGAACATGTTGTTGTAATTGCTAGTTGGTTAGGTTTTGTATAAATATATTGGTGTGTTTTTATGTTTTTGTAGTTGCTGGTTATTAGGTTGTGATTGTGTTTTCTGTGTGTAGTCTGCTGGTTGGTTAGGTTGTGTGTGATTGTTTTTCGTTATGGTCTCTTTTGTTTTTAGGATATGATGGAGTCTAGTCAATCCAACACTAATGCCTCAGGAATTGCACCTTCCATTCAACCTCAAACAGAACCCCAATCACAATCCCAAACAGAAATAAAAACTTAAACCCAATCATAAGTTGACTCAGGTACTGTGAGAGGGAAGAGGAAACCCCCAAAATCTGTTGTGTGGCAACACTGCAAGAAAGTTCACAAGAAAAATGATAATGAGATCGATAAGGTACTTGCAATTTGTCTATTGCAAATTAGAGATGCCGGGTGATTATAGGAAAAATGGGACAACCGGTATAAGAAATTACCTAAAGAAGAGATGCAAGCTCTCTCATCTTTTTTAGAGTGGAGATAGAACTCAATCGATTTTGACAAATGTCACTATGGGCGGTCAAGCTCAATTGGTTCCCCACACCTTTAATCAACAAAGGTGTGAAGCCCAATGTGTGAGGTATGTTATAAGGGATGAGATCCCTTTTAGGCATGTTGAGGGTGGCGGGTTTAAGGAGTTTGTGTATGAGTTAAACCATAAGTTCAAGATCCCTAATAGACAAAAGATAGCTGCTGGAGTATGAGATTTGTTTTTAGTTGAGAATGCCAAGATAACGAGTGTGATAGGTAATCACAGGGTAAGTATCACAACTGATACTTGGACTTCGATCCAAAACATCAACTACATGGTAGTCACAGCTCATGTCATGGACAGTGAGTGAAATTTGCATAAAAGGATTATCAATTTCACAAAGATCACCAGTCACAAGGGTATTGACATAGGCAAGATTTTACGTGCATGCTTGAATGCTTGGGGGATTGAAAAATTGTTTAGTATTACGGTTGACAATGCTTCGGCAAAAGATGGGGCAGTTGTGTATGTGGGAAATAGGATGAAGGATTTCAATAACCTTTTGCTTGATGGGAAGTATTTGCACTTGAGGTGTGCATGTCATATCCTTAACTTGATTGTTAAGGATGGGTTGAAGGAGCTTCTTAGCTCAATCGAGGGGATAAGGAATTGTGTAAAACATATTCACTCATTCCTGTCAAGGTTAGATTCTTTTAGGGACCATGCCTTAGAGATGAGGATGGATGAGATGGCAAATGTGCCAATGGATGTGGTGACAAGGTGGAATTCAACTTATAAAATGCTTGATTGTGCTTTCAAGTACAAGATAGTGTTCAATAGGATGGTGACGGAAAATGTAGCTTTTCAAGCTTACTTTGAGGAGATAGATAGGGATGGGATGAAGAGAGTGGGTCCTCCGAGTAATGAAGATTGGGAGAAGTCAATCTCATTTGTTCACTTTCTTAAGAAATTCTATGACACAACCTTGAAACTAAGTGTAACCAAAACAGTTACATCAAATATAATTTTCCATAAATTGGTTAGTTTACAAGTTGAGTTTGAACTCAAAATGAGTGATCCTAGAGATCCGGTCTTGCAACAGGTGGCTTCATCAATGAAGAAGAAGTTTGACAATTATTGGGGGAGTTTTGAAAGTGTGAATAAGATGATTTTTGTAGCATTAGTGCTAGACCCAAGATTTAAACTTCAAATGTTTAAGATAAGTTTCCAAAATCTCAAGGCCGAAAAAAACAAGATAGATGAGGTTGTGCGTGAAGTGAGAACATGTTTGTTCAATTTGTATAATGAGTATAGAGGGGTGGATGACTTAGTGAGCCAACCAATGAATGAAGGCGAAGATGAGAATGTTGGAAATGATCTTGAAGGCTATAATGATGTTCAAACCAAAATGTTTCATCAACTTGTGCAACAAAGGAAGGAGGAACAACTTGTAGAAATATCTAATGAAGTGGATAAATACTTGACCGACCCTTTTGAAAGCCCTTTTACAAAAGGTTTCAAACTCTTGAATTGGTGGAAAGGCAATGAGGGTAGATATCCAATTCTTTCAAAGATTGCCAAGGATATCTTTGCAATCTCAAACTCAACTGTTGCTAATGAGAATGCCTTTAGCATAGGCAAGAGGATTGTTGATCCTTTTACAAGTTCATTGACACCTAAAATGGTAGAGACATTAGTGTGTACTAGTGATTGGCTTAGGGCGGATGAATTTTGCTTCTATAAGGAACCAACGGATGAAGTGCTTGCATTCTATAAAGAACTTGAAGCACTTGAAGCAAGACATAATATACTATTTGTTTTAAATAAATTATGTTTATATCTTCTTTTTTTAACATTCATGTTTGTTTAAAAAAAAACATAATTTACTTGTTTTTTTACTAGATGTGGCCGGTACTCAAACTTCTACAACAACATTACCTCCTCGATTTGCTTCCACATCATCATTACCTACTGTTTGAGTTGTGAGAGACACCATGGTTTGTTCCACAAACTTTGTTGTAACAATTTAAGTTTTCATTGCACATTTCATATTTGGGTTGTAATTAATTTTAAATATTCTCATTGCACTTCATTAATCATTTCATATTTGGGTTGTAATTTAATTTTAAATAAGTTTTCATTGCACTTCATTTTCTATTTGGGTTGTAACTTTTTAATAAGTTTTCATTGCACTTCAATTTGTATTTGAGAGTTGTAACTTCTTATTAAGTTTTACTTATGTATCATAATTTGATGATATGATATGATATGATATGATGCTTAATAATCAAAAGTTTTGAATGACAAAAGTTAGGTGGCCTAAAACTAGTATAAACAAAGGCTTGAAACAAATGGCCTGAAACTGAAAAGGCTTCTACAAATTGGGTAAAATCTTCAAAACATGGGTTAAAACTAAAAACAAATTGGGCTTCACGGTAAGCCTACAACCGAACCGGACCGGCCGACAATGATGTTCAACCGCAACCTGCGGAACCGGTTGTGGTAGTCAGAATGGCCATTCTGATTGGTATCTGACGGTAACCGGTTGCCATAGATCGGTGCGATAACCAAACCGAAAACAGCACTACCTTTTTATACCCAAACGAAATAGTTATGCTTTATAGTGAGAGAGAGAGAGAGAGAGAGAGAGAGAGAGAGAGAGTAAATATTTATTTTGTTCAATAAACTTCAAATTTTCAGATATTTACAAAGGAGCCCACATGATCACGGAGCAGATATGTATGGGCCATGCACAAGTCCTTTAAGCTCCCATCACACGACAAAAACGACAACAATCTCTGAGCTTTCGAAAGCCGAGCCGAGCCGGCCCTCCCATTTCAACAGGCAATAGCCGGTTTCACCGGTTACAAAAGGCGTGACCGTACGGCAAATGGCAGGTCGTTTCCTTGGCAGTTGGTAAGCATTTAGTGTGCTCCTTCTCTCTCTCTCTCTCAGCAAATTCCAATCTTTTTCACTGACTCTTACAAAAGCCTCTACATTTTTCACAATCTTCAATTGATTCATTTTCCTTTCATCTTCCAGATCCCTCTAAATTGTTCAAAACCCTGTTTTTTGTGCTGATTTTTGTTTTCTTATCAGAGCCTCTTATTATATTGCTGCCATTCAAGCAGGTATTAATCTGGTTTCTCAATTTGGTTTTGGACACATTTGGTTCATAGCCAGTTCTGATTTTGGGCTGGTTCAAATTCATGTCTTGCTGATTTGAGCTTCAAAAGTTGATAAATTTGTTACCAGCTCACACACTGTTCTCATTTTGTATTTTCTTGGTTTTTATGATTATGGTTTATTGGTATTCACTTTGTCATGGTTTTGTTCTATGGTTATAATGCAATCAAATTTTCTTAATTCGTTGTTGTCAATGAAACTTTGAAGCATAGCTGAGCTTTTGAAAGAAAAAAAAATCCCAAAGTGAGGCATAAACAGTCAAATGAAAATGTTGTGCCTGTTTTTCCTTTTTCCTTTTATTTAACCATGTTGGTTTTGTACCCTTTGTCTGATTAGCTCAGTTAAGTCGGTTTTTTGCTTAATAATTATTTTATTCAGTTTTTAGATTGGCGATGGTTTTTTTAAGTTCAAATTGAATTCTTAATTTCTGAATTTCTGACACTTTCTCAGCTGCCAAACAAGGTTTTGGGATTGCTTTGGTTGAGTTCTGATATATTTTCTCGGTTTTTAGTTAACTGCTGATGTATTTTCACTACAAGAGTGAAGAGTTTTCTTTTATTAATATTTTTCTAAAGAAAAATTTCAGCACTTTTTGATGAATTCCTATAGAGAGCAATTCCGTTCAATTTAATTCAATGCAGTATTCTTGTGAGAAAACTAATCCATGTGTATATATATTCTGTTTATTCAGGTCTTGCATGATGTCACTGCAAATGGAAGCTTGATGATAAGCATATCTTTGATCTGAAGCAACAGTGCTTCATTTAATGCGATCAATCTTAGCCCGTGAACCAGTGATTGGATTCTATCTTCTTTGCTCATAGCATTGAACATTTCCCTAAAGAGTTCGTGTCAGACCTCAAGAATTTGCTCATTCATAAAGAAGAAGGGTCTCTTTCTCTCTCATTAGAATTAATTCCAATCACTTTATGTCTCTGGGTTTATTTATGACATGACCTTTATTTGTATTCTGCGCTTCAGGGATCAAAATTGGAGCTTGGGATCTTCTTCTTCAAAAATAGAATCAAAAACCTTTGTTGGCTAAATGGGTGCACAAAATTTCTTCTATCTGTGCAAATTAGTTGGAGACTGAGATTTGATTTTATCCTAATTGGTAGGAGAACATCTTAGAGTTTAGTAATATAAAAAAACCCATTCGAGAAAGAGGTCTTTTGGATTAAAAAGATGGTTTTTTAGTTCTCAAACTGGCCAATTCAGAAGTTGGGTATTGAGTACTGGAGCTAAAAACACTTCTGTGCAGTGGTTTTATTTGTTTTTTAATTGTTTCTGATCCAAATTGGGAAGAATGTTAGAGCCTGAGCTCTGTTCTTCTAGGATGCTATCGCCTTTTCGTGAGGAAAGCGGGGATGAGGAACTTTCAGTTCTTCCCAGGCACACCAAGGTCATTGTCACTGGAAACAATAGAACAAAGTCTGTCTTGGTGGGTCTGCAAGGTGTGGTCAAGAAAGCTGTTGGACTTGGGGGTTGGCACTGGCTGGTATTTTCTTTTTACTTTCCTAAACTGTTTTCTTTTCATTTAATTTTCTCCTAATTTTCTTTATGTGGGCTTTGGGGGTCATTTTGTTTTTTGTTTTTTTGTTTTTGGAACTGTTGTGCCTAATTTTTGTTTTGATGTAGTTTTCTAGATTATTTGGGTTGTTTTCTTTTTCTTTGGTCAACTGTGTTTTTTTTAGGTTGGGAAGAAGAAAGTTGGACTCTTAAGCATTTTTCTTTTTTCCAATACTATTTTATTTACTTTCCTGGTTTCTGGGTACGTAGGATAAGGTCTGTGCACTGTTGTTGTGTCAAATTTTCCTCATTTACTCATTCAAACACGTTTTAACTTCATGGGACAAAATTCAAAGAAATTTGTAAGTTTAACAATATCCCATAAAATTAGGCATCAGTCTCCAGCAAGGCGTGGTTGTTTTCTGCTCTGAGTAATAGAGGGTTTTTGCTTTTCTAACCAATTAAAGATTTACGTTCTTGGACGGCAAAATAGGAATTGTAGTTTTCTCTAGTTGGGTTTCATTGACGACCATTTGCATAGAGCTCTCATCCTTTATGAGCTCGCTGGATCTAACCAATCATGTCTGCCAAAGTATGTTGTTTCTTTTAATGTAATTTTGATTCATAAATTACTGTAAAAGTATGGGTCACTAGAATGCCTTTGAGAGCTCTGTTATGCGTTCTGTTTATTTAATTGCAATTTTGTAAATTATATCTTAATCTAAGGTTAGAGAATTTACCCAATAGCTATTAGTCTATTGGTACTTCTCTTCCCAATCTTGGAAGAGGCCCCAAGTTTGATCCCCTCTTCCTGGTTGATAAAAGAAAGAAAAGAAGTATGGTTTCTTGATGTTATATCTACTTGTCTATGCGTTCGTGAAAAAATTGCACTTCAGTACCCTCCTCCACATTTGGGATGCATATTTTAACCCATTAAGTTTCGCCATACAAGGTTCTGAAAAATGGGGTTGAAGTTAAGCTGCAAAGGAATGCATTGAGTGTGCTGGAACATCCTACAGGGAATGAAGAAGATTCTGATCATGATTACTCTAGCAGCAGCTCTGACCACGGTGACAAGGAGAATGATTTCTGTAAGTTTCATTATACCATACCTGATGCCAATTCTAATTTCTTCAGTTATCATATTAACTGGTAGAGTTGTTCCACTGCAACCTGGAGGTTGTTGACTTGAAATGGGAAACAGCCTCTCTGCAAGGAGGGACCATATTCAGATCTTGATGATGGGATTGCTCTTCTTGTCATATTCAATTGGCATTTATTAGAACTTAAAACTATATTTAAGTTTGTTATTGTTTTTCTTTGGGCAGCTAGATGTCTTGAGTTTCACAAATCTAGTAAACCAAGAGTTCGATATCCAAGGCCATATGTTCCATCCACATTAACCAAGTCAATAAATCGCGGAAGTTATAGAGAAGTTCAATCCATCCACAGACCTCAACCGGTAAGAAATTGCAAAGGAGAGATCTAGGTGTTTATGTGATTTGTCCGTGTTAATGAACTTCTTGCCATTGACCCTTTAATCCGTCAAGCAAATGAGTCCCAATATGTTTTCACTTGTTTTTAAATAGTGGTATAAATATTGTGTGGAATAAAAAATGATATTGAATTGGGAGGTTTTTGCTTTAATTCCTTTGGACTAGTTGGATGCTTCATTTTGCCTATGATGACCTAATCAAGTAATACCACATGATTTGCTTGAATATGCTCGTCTGACTCACTACAGTCGTTCTGTTAAATGATACATTTTCAGGCTTAGTGAAGCAATCTTCATGATCTGATATCTAGTTACTCTTGTATAACTATTATGTTGTCTAAGTGAAATCTTCATGATCCCAATTTCTATGTACACACATTATTGTGTTGTCTAATCCTTTGCACGGATGATCAGAGGGTAAACTTGGCAAAACTAGGAACAAGCACATTGCGGAGGTATTGCAGACACTTCAACCTTGTGGGTATCGCTGATTCCTACACTTTATTTTCTCTCTGCACCAGCCTGGTTATGATATTTTTTGACTAAATCCAGTTTGGAATTTGAAATTGTAGTTAACCAGCAATTCTAATCCAACAAGAGAACAATTGATCAATGTTGCACAACGACATTTTATATCGCAGCAGGTCTGTCTCACTCACTCGCATACAAGTGTGTAAACAGAAAAGTACATATATGCTGTTTGAACGAGTAGTTGGATTTTTATGGTATCCTCTTTTTTTCTTGGTTACAGATGCCATTGGATGAAGTATCGGTGGTCACTGAATTCGTCGATGCTACCAGGAGTCGGAAATATGCTGAGTGGGCTGGAAAACGTGCAGAGCGAGAGATGTGAATGTTGAAAGGAAGGAATGCTTGTATAATAATATACATATATATATATCTACCCTAACCTTTAGATCAGATCTAATCATAGACTGATATGGAGAGTGATGTGGAGAGTGTTTGGCTTACTATAATCTCTCCCTCCAACCCTAACTTTGTACTACAGGGCTCATACCTTACCCATGCTATATATCATCAATCATTAGATTTCTTATCTCGTCTCTCTGTTATTTGAGTCTTAATGTGATGTGATTGGTTTTTTAAGAAAATGTAGATGTAAATTTATTTATTGTTGGTTTATAACTTCTGGGTTTTGCTTGAATTGAGTATCCTATGAAGTTTTCAGGTCCTTTTTGGCCTCAAAACTTTTTTGAAAAATTGTGTGTTGGCAATGGGGGCCATATCTGTTCAAAACTTTAAATGATTAAAAGCATTGGTGGGTGTATAACTAACAAACCCCTCAATTATATATAAATAATTAATTATGGGGTTTAGTGGTGGTGACACCAAGACAGGCTGTCATTTGGTGACATGGGGATCTGTGTGGTACTGTGGTTGGGTGATATGGACATCTTCTTCTCCATGTTGTACCCTACGTGGCCACCCCATAATTTTGTTTTCTGTTTTTAGGGAAGGCACCAGAAGGCCACCGGCTCTCCTTTCCGCTGACAAGTTCACAATTTTGTATTGCAGACAATTTGCATGATTATGCTATTGCCTGCTAAATAATTGTACGAATGAGTTGTGATGCTTTATGGTGTATCAGAAAAAAGTAAAACACTTTTTCCTGAAAAGTGGTATGAAGTATGACAAATTCGGCTGATGCACCCATTGAGTGCAATTATCTACTTGGCCCATCCTACGGCTAGTTTTAAGAAGGCTAGGGGCCTAGGGCAACTAAGAATAAACATGAGATCATCCAAGAATCCTAGCCCTAGAAGAATTGTCATCCTCTACCACCCTATATAAGGATCTTGGGACCATTCCACAAAGGTATGCAATGCTAACCACGAAAACTGTCTCGTGCGCTTTGAAGGTTCTGGAGGACAGCTTGGTTGGTCATGCTTACCTAGGTTGGACGAATTGCCCGATCTTAACCTCGAGAGTCGAGAGGGCAACAGAACACTGTCCACTTCTATGAAATCCTAGGTAGAAATGTGATGTGATTATGCCACCATTACCATGTGTTTACAGAAAATGAATGGGTTTTATGAACAAAAAGGGCCACAGATTAAGCTAAGGAATATCAAACCCAAATTTACCAGCTGTGAGCCTGTATAAGCAGGCTGAGTCAAAGCCCAAAAATATTTGTGGGCTTGAAAACAATGGCCCAACCAAATGGGTTGTCCAACCCAAGAAGAAGCAGCCACCTTGGTACAACAACAATCAACAAACCCAAACCAAATTTCAACAAATAATATTTTTTGTTTTAAAGAAAAAGAGATAATATAATTTTTATTTTAAATTTTTTTTCTTGAAAACAAGAGAAAAGTATTTATATTTCTCAATTTCAGTATTATTTACTAATTTAGTATTTCTTTTCCCACTGAAAGTGCACACAAACGCAGACAAAAACAGAACCAAAAGCCATCTCTCCACCAAAACGCACTCCTACAAGTCCACCGTCTCTCACCAGTCACCTTCAAATTCCCAATTCCCAATTTCCAAATTCCAATTCCGATCGAAGCGTTTTCCATCCACAGGTACTAAAATTTTTCCAACTCCGAAATTCAAAAACGTTTGCTAAAAACGAACTGTTTAGAATTTACTTCTTCTTCTTTGTTTTGTTTTTTAATTTTCGAAGAATTTTTGTGCAAAAACCTATTCGATTGATTTTTCTTCTTCTTCTTAGTTCATTGGTTTAGAGATTTTGTAGCTGATTATATATTTGTTTCCTCTGAGTATTGGTATCTTCTGCTTTGGCTTTTAGCTTTTGTCTTCCATAATATTTTGATGCTGTGTTTTTTGTGTGTATTTGATTGCCCTTGTGCTTAGTTTTCGTGATTTATGTAAGGTTTTATACCTTTGCTCTTCGTACTGAGCGTTTTTTTATATGCATGCTCATAGTTTTTGCTGCTTTGTTCATGGTATTGGAGAAGTTTGGTTTTCTCTCATTTTTACTTTTTATTCTATAGCTACATGTATTCGTGATGCAGCTAATATAAGAACATGTTGGGTTTACTGGGTTTTTTGCTAATGAGCATGGTAGAGTTTTATAAGAATTTGGGCCATTTATATAACTTTCCAAAATCTAGAAAGATATGATATGATCCAGTTAATGATGATTGCTTTGAACTAGTTTCATCAAAGTTTAAGAAGGGGACCCTTTGAGTTTGAACAGCTGGTTTAAGCTGTGGGGGGTGTCAAAACATAGAAATTGTATTATTGGTTTTGAGATGGTAATTTTTCACAAGACCAAACAAAATAAGATGTTCAACATATTAGCTTATTGCTAACTGTGCACATGTTCTGTTATGTCTAACAGATTTTTTCTGTTTTTTTTTATAAAAAAATGTTGAAGGGGATATGTGGCATCAAATGCCAATAGTTCTAGGTCCGCAGCAGAGATAAGTGAAAGAAGACATGGGAGGCTGCTGCTGTTGTTCTTCCAAAGGAACTGAAATAAGTGCTGCACCGACATACTATTACGTGAGTAGAATGCTTTTCCTCATCCTAAATGCTTTTCTTTGTTTTTCTATTTCTTTGTGTTGAGCTACATCTTTTCTGTTAAAAGTTTATGTTTCATTTTTTGCTTCTTGTGAATGATTAAGGAGATTTGGCTGTTGATAATTGGCTTGATAAATGAACTCATTTTTAGATTTTAGAGTAGGTTGGAACTGAAGTTGATTTTTTTCTTTTTAGTTATCACATTTATTGTTCTTTGTATATTTGTGAACTTGAATTTGTGTGCAGTATCCAAGGTCATCGGATGAGCATGTGCCATTGTCGTCTCGCCAAGGTGTTACCTCTGCACTCTCCACAGGGCTTCTCGTTGATACAAATTTGGATACATCAATTCCTGACACTTATAGACCACCTCCTACCCCTATTCCATATGACGTGGCTGTAGAAGGGCATCCTCATACTCCACCAGCGGCTCAAGAAATTTGTGGCAACAAGAGTGAAGGTGCAGTGCTGACAACAAATTCTGATTCTGTTCATGAAGCAGTTGGTGAAAATGCTCAAGAAGCTTCAGCTAAGTGTGAAGACCTGAAGGATTCAGACTGTAAGGCCCAAACTGATTTTGAACTTGATGCGGAAAAGAAGTCAGAAGTTGAACTTTCGAAGTCAGTGGAATCTGTTGCTTTAGTACCAGAGGAAGAGGATGTTTGCCCCACCTGTTTGGAAGGTAAAGTTATTAGTTCAACTGTTCTAAACTTGTATAAGGGAGGCAATTCTGTTTTACCATTACTCTTAATTTAATAAAAATCCCCTTCATTTGACTATTGTGGGCTTACTGCAAGTTGTCCATTCAAGCTGCATTATTTGTTTTCCTTTTCCATAAAGATGTTAAACATTTAGTCACTATACCATTTCCTTTGTCTCTGCAGAGTATGATGCACAGAATCCAAAAATTACCACAAAATGCGAGCATCATTTTCACCTTGCTTGCATTCTTGAATGGATGGAACGAAGTGACACATGTCCTGTGTGCGATCAGGTTTGCCTTGCTTAATATTTTCTTTTGTGTTGTGATTCGATGAAAAGAGATCCATTATCACACATAATATTCAGAGGGCTCTTCTTCACTTATGATGCAGGAAATGATATTTGATCCCCCAATTTAGTTCAACCAGCAATTGAAGTCAAGTTCTTTCCTTATTCAAGATTGGTTTGAGAAGCAGAGGTTACAAATGCACGAAGGTTTTTCTTTCCTCCTTTTCTGTGTTCACTGTTCAGTGACAGTCACAGATATGGCTTGTTTTTTATTTTGTTTCTGGAGCTATGCTCATTCAAATGCAGTGTCTTTGTGCATTTGTTTCCTTTCAACTCAATGATAATGAAAAGGAAGAGGGGGTAGAATTGACACTGGCTGAAATTAGTATTGAGGTCGATTTTCTATTTGTAATGCATTCATTCTTAGATCGTAGAGCATCTTACTATGAACCATAAAATGACATGGGTTAAATAGATACTGAAGTTGGGAGGTAGTAGTCAGATTCATTGTCCACAATGAGAAGTTAGTTTCCGAACAAGAAAGGCGAACGTATTGTTCTCTCTCTTTCTCTTTCCGAGTATAGTTTGTTTTTTCCATGGTGAGCTGGTCCACATGTGAGCAGTTGGTTTTTGCTTTCTCCCTTGAATTGATCATGTAAATGGCATAAAATTACTTGTTCATTGCTGGTGCTGGAGTTCATTAGTGTAATGGAAGAAGGTTCATGTGAAAAGGACTTGTTGGTTTTTCAGATGATTCATGTATATAACTCTGAGTTTGGTGATATGTTTCATTAAGTTGATTGACATGTAGATTCATGTTATACGTGTTAAAGGTTACGTCTTGTATTTATACTATACATAAATACATATGGTTGGCCCCTTTTATAAAAGCATACAGAGTTTGTTTGTTCATATTTACCAACAACAAAAAAACATGGCCAGGGGTGCTTAGCTAAAGTTCGAACTTAGAGTTCAAAATTTTTCGGCAAATTTCGAACTTAGAGTTCAATATGTTCTGGGATTGAAATTGGGAAGGGCTTGTATTGCATGTTTGTGTGAAGGTGGACAAGGCTGGACAAAAAAGTTGAAATAGATTCATATGCTCTTTTGCTTTTTAAAGAGGCAGCATTGAGGCTTTTAATTTAAGTATATCTTCTTGTTCCATCCTAAAATGGAATCTTGGAAGAAACACGCTACTGCGCCTTTTGCATTTGCTAGGTGCTTCCCATGCTGCTTCTGAAAAAAGCACTTCTGTGAAACTCAACACTGGACGCATGCAAACGCACTGGCCTCGAACTGCATGCTTATGTATGTACCCAATCATTTTCTTGTAGTCAAGTCACGTGAGTGTTTGAGAGAGGGAGACAGTGATGATGTGCTGTGCTGATGAGCCTCGTGTTCTAGGAATTATTCTAACTTAATGAGTTGAGGTTATTTGTCATTAGGAAAGATATCACGTACAAGGGCTGATGGTTTTAGTGAGGAATTTATTAATTTTATTAATTGATTACCACTTCATCTTTTATATTTGCATAGCCTTGGTATTAAAATCAAATGATAAACGGTAACGGTGGGAGAAAAAAAAGAAAAATAAAAACTCGGCCAGCACCGAACTTATCAACTCGACTGAATTGGCTCAAAATTTTTATTTTTATTTTTATTTTTTTTTAAACTTGTTTTTGAATTGAACCGAACCAAGGAGGACTGGTTTGGTTTTTTATTTATGTATTATATATTTATAATTAATAATTTTATTGCGACCCAAATAACTGTTATGGCAAACCGAATCGACATACTGGCTGGACTTGATTTGGTTCAGTTATCGTAGTTATTTTTCTTTATAATCGAACCCAGCGATACTGGTGCTTGACCGCAATTGAGGGGCGGAGATCATTGATGGATTCAGGAATCTTACTAAGTAAGATCATAAGGTAATGGTGGTGGTCATAAGGTAAATGATGGTGGCTGCGGCGGCAGGATTTTGGAGACAGCGGCGATTTTTTATTTTTATTTTTTTTGGGGGGAAGAGGGGGGCGGCTAGGTATCGAGTGGGATGGGTTTTTTGGTTGCTTTAAAACCTGGACAAAAATGTTTTTAAAAAAATAATAATAAATATTGCCTGGGCCTAAATGACGTCGTTTTGCCCATATAGTTATTAAATATAAATAAATTAAAAAAACAAAAAAACAAAAAAACACAAGCAGCTTCTTCTTTCTCTCAGGCAAACCAGCGAGCAGTTGGAGGCATTCGGTGTGGTCATTCAACTGGCTCGAGTGGATCTCCAAGCCTATTTCTATGGTTTCTGTGGGATCATTCGAACCCAATGACCCCACAGTGGCGGAGACGGCCGAACTGAACCATACCCACTCCAAATAAAAAGTTAAAGGCACTTCATTGGGTCAACAAAGGCATAGAATCTAGTGGTCATTGCCAATAATCTGAAGAAAAAGTTGTTTTGGTTTCACCCTTTATTTCCTTTGGAGGGGTTCTAAATGGGTGATTCCAATCTCCTTTTTCATTGTTAGTGTTAAGTGGTTCCGGTATTTTTCAAATGAAAGGTTTATGACTCAAATCACCCGACTTGTGAAAGCAGCGTTTTAGCTTTCGTCAACTACCAAAATGTGCACGCATTTCGTTTTTTATATAAGCAATATTGAGAGAGGGGGAAATCAAATCTAAAACCTCGAGTACAATGATAAATACTCTTAATCACCTGAGTTACAGGTCCCTTGCAATGTTCATCTATCTCCTTAGAAAAATAAAAAAAATAAAATCAATAAAATGACCCATGTCAATTTCTCATAAGCCTTGGCTCGTTTTTTGGGTCTCCAGTCGATATCTAACTAATTCTTAGTTCAAAATTTAACAATTTTCAAGTCCTTTTTGTATTATCTTTGGAAGGTGGGAATTTTCAAGTCTGAATGTAGACGATAACACATGTTTGATTCTTGTGGGATGCATGCCCATCTCCATCTGCTTAACTCTCAATCCAACACGCAGATACGCATTAATATCAAAGTGAAAAATTATGTCTATGGAGAAAGTATGCCTTGCGGCTAGATCTTAGGACATGTTTATTTTAACCAAATCCTATTAATAATAAACAGTAGGATTATTCATTTACTATTGGTTAAATTACATTTGTTTCTTCTAGTTTGACTTTCTTTTCTTTTTTTTAAATAATTTTCTTTTGATAATTTTAATCGTGTAAGTAAGTATGATTTAATTTGCAATCAAGTCCAAAATCATAAGTTTCTTCAAAATAATAGATGAAATTCATATGAGGGCAATTTTGGCATTCATTTGTTAAGCACAGCACACATACGTTCCTAGTAATAAATCCATTAATCTCAAATATCACTTTACCATTTTATTTAGGTAAAATATTAGTGGTAATAAGTAAATCCATTATATTTTTTGCCCATTCCTTGTGCTTTGCATCAATATTTATTTACTTTACTATTTCAGATAAACCCTTCCTCATCATAAGTTGGTAATAAAATTACTGATTTTCAATATTACATCCCCCAAATTTGCATAATATCCTTTTAAACGGTTTAGAAAATATCCAAAGAAAAATAAATAAATACTTCCACTTCATTAAAATAAAGAAATTATAAAAAGTGCATCCCCCAAATTTGTCAATGTTTTGATTGGTTAGTATCAAATGCTAAATCTCATCTTATACATTTTAGTAGATTTTCCTTCACGCAACTGAATTTGAATTTGGGATTTACCACTTCTATCCCTAAGTCGCTTGAGCTAGAGAGGTTGAATATGACTTTGTCAACCTCCTACATCACATTCACATGCCAAGTCATAATAAATCCACAAATTTCTTAAATGTATTTATCAATTTTTTAAACAAAAGTGTTCTCTATTCTTAAAAATAATAGTTTTTTATTTTATTTTAATACGAGCGGTAGTCTAAATTATAAGAGGTATGGGTTTCTCTCACACACTACAAAGGTGCCATGAGAATTCAAACTTTAACTACCGATATGCAAGTCAAAATCCTTTTCCACTAGGTTAGACTCCATTAACAATAATCTTTAAACTAGTAGATAAAGGAAAAAAAAAAAAAAAAAAAAAAAAAAAAAAAAAAGGAAAATTGGAAGAAGAGAAGATAAAATAAGGAAGCGTTTATTGGGGAAGCGCGTTATTCTAAAACTCTTCCTCCCGTTCTAGCGCGAGAGTACGTCTACTACTCCCTCAATCGAAGAATGCTCTGTAAAATGTTCCCTCTCCTAGTGCGAGAGTATGCCTACGCTCCTCAAGTGAAGAATGAGAGTTCAATAGAGAGCGAAAGTAGCTTTTTACGTCGTATATTAGATCAATTGTTACTCAGTATGAAACAAATTTAATTGTCAATTAAGCTGAAGAGATATAAAGAGGGAGATAATTTTATATCGACCCTTATAATTCGTAAATCCACCAATTTACACAAATATATTTCTCAAATTTAAATTTAAACGGTGAAAAAAAGAAAAGAAATATCAACCTTCTTTTTCTTTGGCCAAAAATGTTTTAAAAAACGATTCAGCCTTTGATTTCCACTACATTTAAATAAAATAAAATCACAAATAGAGTCATTGAATAATTTTTTGTCAAGAAGTTTTCATTTTCTCCACTTTCCATAAACATTTGTTTCCTCTCTCTTCTTATATCTGATAGCTGTCTAAATTTTTTTGAGTCCAGCTTGTACTGTCACCCACTCATAATTTTCAACAATTCCTCGGCTCCAACGTTAATCTCGGCTGTCCTTTGCTCACACCCATGTCTCCTTTGTCGCCTCTGCAGCTCTGTAAATTACCATGTTGGTAGCTTTGCGAGGCAAAACCAAAAAGAAAGCAGTACCCAAAAATGTTCAGGTAAATAACAACATTTCTGAAACACTCTACAGAGAAAACAGGGCAAAGGGTCTCATACCCCATGCCCTAAATTGAAATGAATTAGATACCATTTTGTTTGGCCTCCCTCTGTTATATATTTGTGTATTTGATCTTTGAAAATAGATAGTCTTATTGGTTTTTCAAGAGTCAAATCGAAGTTCATGGCAGGATGGTCGTCTTTAACACCTGGGTCTGTTTTAGATTGTGTCGAAACTAATGATGCATATCAGAAAAATGGTAGTTGCATTGGTAGTGATATTGATGTAAGAGATGGTGTTGAATGTGATGAGGATGATGATGAGGTTAGGCTAAGATATACATTTGATCAAGTTCTATCTGTTTTTGTTAAGGAAATTGGTGATAGAGGTGTTGTTAGGCCCATCCCTGCCGTGATTGATGATAGGCAACCTGTGGATTTGTTCAAATTGTTCTGTTTGGTGAGAGATAGAGGTGGGTATGATTGGGTTTCGAAGAACAGTTTGTGGTCTTTTGTGGCCAAAGAGTTGGGTTTGGATGGTGGAGCAACGGCTTCTGTGAAATTGATTTACTTCAAGTATTTGAATGAGCTTGAGAAATGGTTTAGGGAGAGTTGTAAAAGTAGGAGCTCCGGAAATGGGCAGTCTGGTTTGTATGGGGAGTTTCAGTTGTTGTCTTCGGAGTTGGAGAGAGAGTTTAGAGATTTGTTGTTGGATGGGCCTGAGCAGAAGGGCAAAGGTGATGGACCGGTTCAGTTTGAATCTGATGAAAATGGGAAGATTGAATTTAATCTTTCAGATACCAAAGATGCATATGGAATGCATGCAGGTGCCGACCAATGCAAGGATGATGATGACGAAAAAGTTTGTAATGATGATCAGAATGGTGTTTTGATATCACTTGATAGTCTCAATAAAAAAGAAAATGATCGTAAAAGAAAGCGAGAATCCTTATCAGGAATGCTGAATTGGGTAGTTCAGATTGCAAAGCAGCCAAATGATCCTTCAATTGGAGTGATACCAGGGCCAACTAATTGGAAGGAGCATAAGGGCGATGAGTGCTGGTTCCAGGTAATTAGAGCAAGGGAAGCATTGCTGCTAAGAAGGAATGTTGATTCAAAGACTGAAGAATCTCTCCTGCAGGTACATTTGTTTATGTTGTGTGTTTCTCTAAAGGTTTTTCGCTTCTGGACCCCATCCATTTGTCAAATTTCACATGCATAGCATGGTTACTCTTTCAAGTGCACTCTCCTCTCCCCTTAACCGTGTTATCCTATGAAGTTAAAAGGAATTGTTGCTTTTATCTTTAAAATTTGAAGTTATTAATGAAATTATGAAATCAACAACCCTGTGATGAGTTCCCGTTGTTTCTGCCTTGAGTAAGTTAACCTCCACGATATGATATTGTCATCCACCTCAATGCAGCTAGATCACTTGGTTGAACCCTTGAAGTATTAATAGGGCATTGCTTTGTTTGTGATCTGGACTCTGCTAACATAAGTAATTGGGAACTCCATGATGCTAATATAGCTACAAACCAAAACACTTTTCCAGATTTTAGTTCACAGCTCTCAGCCATATCCCGACTCTTTGGTCATGCTTCTGGTTTATCAATTTTCTCTAGCTATGGTCTTCCTTTTCCTTTTATACTTCTTATTACGGTCCATCTTGTACCTGGTACATTACAATTTTTATTTTCTTTCAACCTTCTGAATGTTAGTTAGATTTGAAACTCTCTTTAAGAATCTTGGAGATAGGAGGAGTTCCAACATCTACGTTGCTACTAATAGAGTCAGTGTTTGTTACGAGACATTTGGTTTGGCTTGTTTTCTTTTAATTTTTAAATTTAATAAAGGAGATACAAGTGATTTTCTTTCTCAACTTAGTAAACATTTTCACCCCCTGCCCCCTTCCTTTCTCTTGAGAACAAAAAGAGGAAAAAGAGATGAAGGAGAAGGTATCAGCCAAAAGAGGAGGAAAGCTCTAAGGTAGATAACTTGGCATCTTCCATGTGTCACATCCTTGGTCATTAGTGTAACCAGTAGATTACTATATGGTTGTTGCACAGTCACTTGATAACAAAAGATGCTGGTGACAAATGATGAAAAGATTGCGAGTTGGAGTATTTGAGTTCTCCAACATTTTTTTAGCTATCAAGAGAGGTGCCTATAATGTTGATTTTTCTGGAACTGTAAATATTTATATGAAATTAAATTAGTTTCCAATTTTATGAAAAGATCATGGTCTAAATTTGCAGAAGAAACTAAAGACGCATCCATTGTTGTATGAAGATAATATTGTTGCTGGTCACCAGTCCTCAGAGAGGTTAAGATGCAGTGAAAGGTTTCCTAATTCTGTGAAATCTCGCTCGTGCCCTTGTTGCAGTTCATGTTCAGTCCCTCAGAGTAATTTGATAAGTCCTCGTAAAAAAGAGTTGGATAACATTTCTAAGGAGCAAGCACCAGCAGAAGTTGATTTATTGGCCACAAATACAATGGTTTGCCCATCTGTGGATGCTCCCCATGAAAAGCACGTTTCTGTAGGCACTCTCTTTCAAGCTGATGTGCCCGACTGGACTGGCGTGGCTTCTGAAAGTGATATTAAATGGCTAGGCACACGGGTATGGCCCGTACAATGTGAAGAAGACAGCTCCCTTCATGAAACAGATCTCACTGGCAAAGGAAGACCGGATTTGTGTGGCTGTCGACTTCCAGGTTCTGTTGTATGTATCAGATTTCACATTGCTGAGGCCAGGATGAAACTGAAGAGAGAACTTGGTTCCTTGTTCTATCGTTGGCAATTTGATCGTATGGGTGAGGAAGTTTCTCTTCAGTGGACAGCTGAAGAAGAAAAGAGATTCAAGGATTTGGTAAAGTCAAATTCTCCTTCCTTTTGGAATAGAGCGTCCAGGTGGTTTCGTAAAAAAACAAGGGAAAACTTGGTAAGCTATTACTTCAATGTGTTTCTTGTCCAAAGCAGAAGTTATCAAAATCGTGTAACTCCAAAAAATATTGATAGTGATGATGATGAAACAGAGTTTGGATCATTTAGTAATGGTTTTGGGCATGATGCAGTCGAAGTTTCAGCCAATTTTGTGGCATGTTCCCAGAATCAGCAGTGCACTGATTTGGATTAGATAAAAAATGCTGTCTAAGAGTTAGACAATCGTTCTGGGGGCTTGAACCGCTGCGTTAACTTATACAACTTTAAATGGTGATGCAATTTTGAGGAGTGCACGCCGTGGTGGAATCGGACCTGGTGGAGTTCATGATGAGGCCAGAAGGTAGAAGTTGTGGAATGCGCTGACGAATTCTGTTGGTACTCAACAAGGGTCTTCAGTTGTCATTTTAGAGAACTATACTACTGTTTTGGATGGCTGAATCGTGAATATTGTATCTAATACCAGGTTTTGTAAACTTTGGGATACAATCATACATCTTTAAGTAGATAGGGAAACATGAAAGAGGCACATAGTTGTCGAGGTTTACGGTTTTTTTTTCTTATTTCTAAAGTTGAGCATAGGGGCACTAAAATGCTGTGATACTTTTATTTTCATATTTCAGGAAAAATGAGCATATGGGACTAAATGCTGTGATACTTTTCTTTTTCATATTTCAGATATGTGATTTCGTCTCTGCCTTTCTCATTGTCGGTCCACATGCATCAATGGTCAGGAATTGTCCGCCGAATACCTCATAAGGTGTCGATGTTGCAACATTTACTAAGTATAACAGAACAAAATATGTTACCTTGTAAAAACGCTTTAAGAATGGAAAGGGAGCATCAATTGCACCATGAATTGCTTGGTTATTTTCCAAGAGGCCCCATCATTTACCATAAATTCGAAGACTTCATCCTGGACATGAATTTATTATGTCTGCAAATGCATTCAATCAGCATTTTGCTCTCCAAGCTGCAAGAACAAAAAGAAGGAAAATACCCACAAAATGAAACCAAATAGTGTTTTTACTTCATTGTCACCAAATTTGACAGTTAGATTGGCCTTCAGTTCTGCGTCAGTTTGTCATTATAAAAGAGGCAGTTCCCATTTTGTTGCAAAACAGACTAACAGAATGAAATGCATACTTGGCTTGCCATTTGCTAAGCTAGCCAACCACATTTAAACATGCCACAAAATGTGTATCAAACACAAATATTTTGTGATTTATTCGTTAAAATGACGTGATAACCTATGCAATCATATTATTATTAAGTATGTGTGTATATAGATCCAAGGCCGCCCTTACCATTAGGTCAACCCCATTATTGTATTAAATTTTAGGAGCGGAATTTTGTTTTCTAGGATGTGAGAGGCCGATCACCCACTTTATTTATTGTCAATTGATTGACTTCTCACATTCTCTTGAATAGACATATTTAATCTTTAAATTCTATTTTAACAAAAAATTTTAAAAAAAACTTCCGCCAAATACTTCTTTCTTTCTCGCTCACATGAATTCAACAAGAACAATCCTGATTACAATATAAATATAAGAACTAGGGTAACATAAAAGTATTATAGAATAATCTTTAACTTTTCCCTTCCAAAAAATAAAAATAAAAATACTTTAACTTCTTTAACATACACATCAAGATATTTACCATAACATTTACAAAACGCCCCAAGATTATTTAATGAGAAAGTCATAAAATTGGATTGAATATACAGAAATATACAGAAATACGATATTAATACAGAACTTCCATAACCATAGATTCATAGATGATTCAGATATCATATATTGTAAGGGTAATTTTATAGTGATTTTTGCATGAATTATATGCATATTTTTTGTGCATAAAGAAATGCACGTAAGCATCATGACTGTTGAATTTGATTCGATGCATTCATAAAATTTGATGTAGACAGTAAAACGCACTGCCGTGTAAAGTCCTTAATGAGTTTAGTGCTTGACGCGTGTGGTGCAAAAATGAGCTGCAACGACAAGATCATGGAAGGAATGCTAATGGGATCACCACTTCATTACAATTTTCATGTATTTATTTTGCATAAATTTTAATGTTTTGCTCGTCATTAATACGACATTATTTATCTACTTTTCTTACCCCATAAAGATTTAAAGAAAAATTAAATTAAATATCATGACCAAATGCTTGCATCGTTGCCCTCCAATAATCGCATTGGTTATTTTTTTCAATGAAAATGTCGGCACTAACGTTAAAACATTTGTTTATTTATTAATGTTATATTGGAGCATCTCCAATTGATATGTCAAATTGCCATATGGATATAAAATGACAAAAGTTGAAAGTTAAAATTATACAAATTTATAAATAAACCCAATTCTAGACATGTATTTATAAAAAAACTCAAACACTATTTAAATATAGAAACACACCCAACTCAACAATTGTATATTTTTTGGGTGTGTTTATCAATGGATTTTGAGTGTGTGTAATGATGAGTTTTGAGTGTATTTATAAAGTGTTTTGGGTGTTGGGTTTTTTTTATAATTTCAGCCCCCATTTTGGGTGTTTTAGTAAAACTCCCTTAAAATTACTCTAACCAAGTAGTCAAATCCTACGTATATTTAAAGGATGGAAGACATATGTCAAAAATAACATATCAAAAAACTTGATGTCAACTATGATTGTAGTATTCTTTTAGTCATGGACCCCGTTAATATTTACTCTCTTTTAAAATTTTATTTATCATATAGGCTCCATTTACTTTTAAAAATATAATAAAATAATATAATATTTAGCATTTTCGGGTTGAGATGCTCTTTATAAGTTTATAAAATATTTAACCTAGTCGTCCATCCGTACGCATGATAATCGCACCTAAAAAGTTTCTCACAATCGTACAAGTAATTTCCGAAAATTCAATCATTTTTAAAAATGATTAAGTTGTGAACACTAAACACGTCATGTGATCTTGAAAACCATAAACCCTCATTAAATTTTGCATATGCAATTATGCATGTTTGCAATCACTGGAGGATCCACAGAGGCGCAAGGAGGTGCAGCACCTCCTCTTGCTGGAAACTTCCTTCGGGATGTCAGAATTTGCCCCTTTACTAGTGCCCACAAATTGTTCAACTAAATACCTCAAAGATGTTATTTTGTTTGCTGCTGTGTGAGACCCTGAATATTTACTTAGATTGTTGGTCTCGATCTCACGAGCATGTAGGAGAAAACGGTTCATCAATCAGAGCTTCACAACCAAAGTTATGAATTTTCAACATTTTTCTAGAACTAAAGTTGAGTTGCAGAGGCTCTTCGAGGAAGAAAACTGACTCTGTGACCTTCTCACTTTTGATTCTTTTTTAAATGGTCCAATAGCAAGCTGAAACATGTCCATTTCTAATTGGCCTAACTTAAAAAATTCATTAAAAACTCATATGTGTGCCAAAAAATTCACTGAAAATTACCCCAAACTTTTAATCATGTGACCTCCAAATCACATGTGCTTTTGGTTAGATTAATTGGTATAGATTTTTGTTAGATTAATTATGTAATTGACATGGATTTTGTTCATATTTGATATGAATTTTGGTAAACTAATTGTGTCACTGGCATGGATTTTGTTCATATTAATTGATATTCCATACAGACTATAATCAATTAGTAATACACATAGAACTCTTATTTGTTTGAATTATGAATGACATTAGTATTGTTTAAATTCTAAGGGCATTTCGTTGTCTAAATTAATTTTGAATTTTTAGCCTTTTTTTAACACACTACAAGGATATTAGACTTGAACCTTGGACCTTGCTTGAGTTCTTTGTGAATTTTTAGTCTTTTAAAAATTGCACCTCCTCTGAAAATTCCTAGATCCGCCACTGTTTGCAATAACTACCAAAATTCATACCATTATTAGGTGACACACACAATCTAAATGGATTTTGTTTTTCTAATTAGTGACACAATCTATAACTATAAGGATATGAATAATGAACTAAAAGAATTAAAAGGAAAAAAAGAAGTCTAAGGAAGGGTACAATGAATATGTAAAGATAAATTAATATGACACAAGGATATATGGTATTATGGTGACCAAATTCAATGTGTAGCATTATTTTCAACCCATTCTTATTTTCCCAACACTATTCAATATATTTTTTTAAGAGTTATTTATACTAACATTCTCTAAGATTTTCGACCTTTTCACAAAATCCCCTGAAGTATCATAAATTACACGAAAACTCGATGAAGTTTTAAATAGTTTTCATGAAATCCTTTTGTATTGATTTTTCATCCAAAGATTGATGATTTTTATATATATATATATATATATATATATAAATCTCCAAATGACAAAGTAAGTCTTTGAGATTGCACATACATTCATTAAGGTTAATTTTGTCATTAGTATAACTTCTCTTCACTTTTTGGACGAGCAATCAATAAAAATGAGTTTTGTAAAAACAATTTGAAACCTTATGGAGTGTTTGTGTAATTTTCAAAACTTCAAGGGATGTTAGTGTAAATAACTCTATTTTAAAATGATAAGTCTATTCTTATGTAAAATTACTTTGAAGGAAAACTAAGTAAAAGTCAAAAAGCAATTGTGGTTGCCTTGGCCATTGGCCTTCCTAAGCCACCACAATGGGTGAAGACCACATCCTAAATCATCTTCCTATAAGAAGTATAGAAATTTAACACCAATTGTGCTAACGTTTAGATGACATAATGAGGCCGATAATGTATTAGTTCAATAAAACTTTATTTATACCAATTCAATTAGAAATAGTCACCATTTTAATTAGTAAAACTTAAGATCAGTAGTGAAGTCAGAAAATGTGTAATTTACGATAAAATTAGAGATAATTAAACTCATCCAATAGCACAATTCGTTACAATTTTCCGTACCATTTTCTTTCTCACAAAATAATTATAATTTATATAAAAATTATACTTCAGAAATAATATTGTGTTCCAATTCTAACCATTTGAACATAAAATTAATCATCAATATATCAACTACATCAAAATTAGTATAAGAAAACATTAAAGAATTTATTTTTGTTAAAGATATAGTTTTTAAAGTTGATGGAATAGAAAACTATGGAAATTGGCTTCTTTAGAGCATCTCCAAGGGAGATGTCAAATACCAAACATCAAATTTAAATTTGATGGCTGATGTGGCAATTTGACATATTGTCAAACTCTTTATCCAACCAAGATGTCAAATATACATTTTATTTTATTATTTTTAAAGGCAGGTAAGCCCGAAATTTAAGAGTAAAATATTAAATAGAGTTAAGAACTATGCATGGAAGATGAGAGAAGAAAGTGGGCTCAGCATTAAAATAATAATAAAAAATAAAAAGACATTTCAACATCTTGGCGTCAATTTTGACAGCAAAAGTGAAGGATGTCAATCCAACTAGGATTTGGCATCACGGTTGGAATGCTTAAAATGTCTTTTTTTTTGGGTTAAAACTTGCCACATTGGAATTGGCATTTTCATTGGAGATGCTCTTAGAGCATCCACAATGGGCTCCCTAAACCACCTCATTAGACAAATTTTAGGGAGGAATTATAAAAATGCAACTCCAACCATGCTCCCTATCCACCTCCTAAAATAGAGGAGCTCCTAAATCTGAGGAGAGAGAAAGGACTCTTAGTAGCTTTCTATAATTAATGCTGCTTTATTTAATGAGTATTTCAAACCTTTATTTAATGCTAACTATTTTTTATTTTATTTTTTAATAGAGATTGACCAATCAAAAAGAGTTATAGCATTTATGACTCTCCAAATTATGAAGTATGGTTGGAGTTGAAATTTTTTAGAGAGCTCCTAAAATAGCTTTATTATATTTTTAGCTAAATTTTAACTAAGAAATAGAGAGTATCATTGTGGATGCTTGCCTCAAGTTAGTCTCAGAAACAATGGGTAAAATGCTGAAAGCAGAACACTATTACAAGGAAGTTATTATTGGCAGGTCTTAGTCCGCTCTACCCAATGATTAAGATTAGGGAGTTAAAAAGGGTATTATTGGAATAATAGTGGGTGGGTGGGAAAATATTGGAAAAACATAAATAGTGGGTGGAAATTGACCATATTTAGCAACAACAAAAGTTGTATGTACCATTTGACCCAAAAAAAAAAAGGTTGTACGTACCATTTAACTACTTTATCAAAAGAGGAAATTACCATATAACTAAGAAAATCTCTCTCTCTCTCTCTCTCCCTTTTTACTTAACAATTCAGAAAATCTATCGTGGTAAAAAAAACTTGCATGTAAGGTGACGATATTTCAAGTCAATCATATAAATGATAGACTTGGGATACCATAATGGTGGTATCCCGTTACATGTAATGTAGGTTCTACCTTTGGAAATCTAACAATGACTGCAGAAATTTACTGGACCATTATTACTGCAGAGTTGCCGACTTTTCTGAGCACATGTATATATACTTCACTATTTCTCTCACTCTGTCTGAATTTGTTTGTGAAGAAACTCAGAACATCTCTCTCAGCCTCTCTCACCCATTTCCCATACCCAAAAAATGTCTTCGCCAAGCAAACGCCGTGAGATGGATTTGATGAAACTGTATATTTTCTCAAATATGCATTTTGTTGTTGTTTAGTTTTAGTTTTTTACTTGTTGTAATTAAATTTTTGGTTTTCTTGTCTTTGGTTTTGGTTGGTATGAACTAGGATGATGAGTGATTACAAGGTGGAGATGATCAATGACGGCATGCAAGAGTTTTATGTGGATTTCAATGGACCCAAAGAGAGTAAATCATCCGAACCCATATATGATATTCCCCCTTTTTTTGTTTATTGTTTTTATGTGTCTCCTTGGTTGAATTTCAGCTAATTTTGATGTCATCTCTGGTGGGTTCTATCCATGTTATGTCTTAAAGCTGTGTTCGTTTATGTTGATCATGTGAAAGTTGTTTTGGGTTTCAGATTTATATTGTTTTAGATAGAATTATAGTTACCAGCTACTGACCACATATATAGTCTCCTCTCTGAAGTCTGAACTATTTCATTTAACCATGGTTTTGGTTTGATATTTTTTTTGGGGATAAAAAGTTCGGGATTGATTTAGTTGTGGGAATTTACTTAATTTTTCTGAATGAACTGATCTGGCTACTGATGCTTGTTTAAATATCTGAATTCCAATTTAGATTAGGATGTGATTTTAGAGTTTTAACTTAGACTTCTCTCTACTGCTTGTGCATAAATGGGCTGCAAGTTTCTTGTTTTCTGGTTTTCTTCAACAGGATGAAGTTTTTACATACTTTGCTTTCGAGTAATATGGAAATTGAATGAAAGGTGGGCCTTTTCTTTTCTTTTTTTCCCCTTTTTTGGATGCAATGTGGCAGGTCCGTATCAGGGAGGTGTCTGGAGGATAAGGGTGGAGCTACCAGATGCTTATCCTTACAAATCTCCATCTGTTGGCTTTGTCAACAAAATTTACCACCCAAATGTTGATGAAATGTGAGTTGGAAGATGCTGAAAATTCCGTACTTTGGCTTTGTTTGAGTTGTATTTTACTTTATTATAGAATAGTTTGTAGAACTTGAATATTGTGCAAGGCTTTGTACTAAAGTCTGGCTAATGGTGATTTTTTGAGTTCCAGGTCTGGATCAGTTTGTTTAGATGTTATCAACCAAACTTGGAGCCCCATGTTTGGTAGGCCTATACACGCTTTCTTGTGCATGTAAAATGATATGGTTTATATGGAGACCCGGATACTTTACTTTCAATTTTACTTTGTAGTTTTCTTTATAACTAGTGCTGCTACCTGAAGGAGACAAGGATTTACCTCTATATTTCTTAACCTTTTTTCCAGACCTGGTTAATGTGTTTGAAGTGTTTCTGCCCCAACTTCTTTTATATCCCAACCCATCGGATCCATTGAATGGAGAGGCAGCTGCTTTAATGATGCGTGATCGTTCTGCTTATGAACAAAGAGTAAAAGGTAGTCATTATTTGCAGCTTTTGTGAATTAAGTATATATTGGTTGCCTCTTGTAGGGCTTGCACTGACATGCTAGTAACTTCCTTTTAGTTCTTTTCTTTTGTTGTTGTTCACATATACAGCCTTAGTTGCAGGAGTCAGAGGAGGATTTTGAAATCATAACTGGACTGTTTTTAAAAAAGTTTTGAAGGTCATGAATCTGTGATGTTTAAACATATAAGCTTTTCTGTAGGTTTATTGGAACAATTAAAACTGGCTTAAAATGTTATGAAATTTCACTCTGCAATAGTGAGGTTAAGGTTTACTTGAGTTCAAATCAATAGCTGTGTTTTAAGACTTGTAGCACCTTTTAATCCAACTTTTGAAGGACTCCAGATGTCAAATGACACCAGCAGTATCCTCTTTGAAGCTTTGAATTCCTTAGAAAATTAGTCATGTGCAAATAAATAGTAAATCTTAGATGTATCAAGTATATGGCTTTGAAACTTCTATACCTCACATGTATTTAAGACTTTTGATACTATAAAACAATAATGTGGAAGATAGCTTCTACATTGAGCCTTGAGGATCAGATATTACTGTCCATTCTGCAGTTGCTTGAAGGATTAAGGATATGTCAGTTACTGCATCTAATGGAAAATGGATGCAGTTGTAAAGGGTTGGGAAATGTAATCTAATTTTATATGTTCTGAGATATTGATCCCCACTGAGGAACAAAGTTGATAGTTGTTTTCAGCACAAGATGTTTAGGAATTCTTCGGATAAATTTGTTCTCTGAAGTCTGAACCACACAGAGCATGACAAAATGTAGGGTTTGTGTAATAAAGTTGGCAGTACAATTCTATTATGTTTGAATATCGCCACGGGATGATGATGAACAGGTGATGAGAATACACAGATTGTTGGAGCCCAACTAACTGATGTCTTGGAAGTCACAATATTGGTTTTTGGAATTAGTATATGAGAGCTTAAAATTTCACGTTTTGTTGGTCTTCAGTTTTGGCCGAAAATGTTAGTTGTAGCAAATTAAAGATCTCTAGAATCGGCATTTTATCAGATATGAGGATTAGGATCACGAGTCTTAAGAATTTTCCAGACGAAAAATAGCCTGCAGTAGACCTGTCATGCTTACAAACTTCCTGTTACTCAACTCCTTTTGCTCATCTGTAATTCATAAGTAATTGTTCATACGAGTTCGCAGGACCAAATACAAATCATAAGATCACTGCTTTCAACATCCCTACTTAAATCTATTTCACTGCGTGTCATTCTGCTTTATGTTCATTGTTTGTACGTATTTTTCTGATTATTCTTTGTAACTTACAGAGTATTGTGAGAAGTATGCAAAGCCAGAAGACATAGGTGGTGCTCCAGAGGAGAAATCAAGTGATGATGAGGATCTGAGTGAAGATGAATATGACTCCAGTGATGACGCAGTTGCAGGCCAAGCTGATCCATAGGTTCATAAACCCTGGTCCAGTTAATTCTCTGTTGTACCTGTACATTATATTGTACTCGATGCATGGAAAACCAACCACCCCCCCCAAAAAAAAAAAAAAAAAAAAAAAAAAAAAAAAAAAAAAAAAAAAACTGGGGTTGTGGAAAATTCCTGCCCTTCTGTGATTGTTGTCCATGGCGGTTGTGTAAATTAATCAACTATGATTTATTGTTTTCAATATTCATCCACTGTTTTGGACTGAAAGTGGTCATGTTCTGCTGTGCATGTGCATGATGACACACATGCAATAAGTGCATTCTGGTCCCTTATGGGTGAATGATATCTCCATCTGCATAATTACCAAACCATTGGATAGGATTTTGGATAAATATGTTCGAACTTGGGATCTTTTTCAATATTGAAATATAGGAGCACGTTCGGACTCGGGATTTCTTTCAATATTGAAAGAAAGATATCACTAGAATAAGAGCTGGTTGGTTATGGATGTTTGAACAATGAACCTGGATTATAGAATGCGTCCGGAAAAAATCAAACAAGGGAATCCTAAAATTTAAATGAGGTAAGAAAGGAGATAAGATTATCTAAATATATTTATATCTCGTACATAAACAACAAGCCCTTATAGCTCAGTGGTAGAGCGTTAGTCTTGTAAACTAAAGGTCCGTAGTTCGATCCTGCGTGAGGGCATCATGTTTTTTGTGATTTTTTTTTACCTATTTCAAATTCTTCCAGGTTACAAAAAAGGAGGTGTCACATCAAACAGTTAAAACTATACTTTCACAGTGGGGTCCACTTATTTTTGATGGATTGGTGACAACTAAGACATTACTGGTTTTATCCAAAAATAAATAATAGAGATTTATAATGTCAGGGTAATGTCAGTGATTGACAAATTGCTCCAACAGATTGTTCTTTTTCTTTTGGGCGTACTTTCTGGGGAGAACAACCCACTAGAAAGGGTTCCGTGGTGATCACAAGTATATGCATTACCATTGAAAACTCAAATTGTAAAAGCGATAATCTATTCTAAATTAATCTAATATACGGGAAGAGAATTTGAAATTGAATGCAAAAGGGTAGGTTCACTGCTCTGATCAATTAGTCTAACCCACGTGTGCCCAAATAGAGATTTTTTTATTTCACAAAGTTGCAACTTGCAAGGAAGTCTTGACCAAAAACAAAAAAAGTAGCAACGTAGTCTTCAACTGGCTGAACCTGGAAACTATCAAAACTGAGTCTGAGAGTGGCTCAAAGCCCCAAGATTGCTGCATGCAGTACATATTAGGATAAGATGGTGATTGCTTACTGTTGAGTGCCAGTTGCAAAATCAAAATGCCAATCGCCAACGGACTGTGCGATTCAGGTGTTGATATCTGAGGCATTTAAACATGTGAAAGCAAAACACCAAGACAGGATTTTTCCTTTTTTCTTTCTAAAGCTGAGTTGAGCATATGGGCACTAAATGCTGTGATACTTTTCATATTTCAGATATGTGATTTTGTCTACCATTCTCTTTCTGGGGCCAAATGCATCTAACGGTCAAAAATTGTCTACACGACTGACCATAGCTCCGTCGCATTGCAACACTTTCTATTTATAACAGAATAATGCCTCCAAGAATGGCAATGGAGCATGAGTTGCTTCGTTATATTCCAAGAGGCCCCAGCATTTACCATGGATTCTAACAAGACTTCATCATGGCCATGAATTTATTATGTCTGGACTAATTCCAAAAACAAGAACTGTAACTTCCAGGACATCGGCTACTTGGGCTCCAGGCATCCCAATGCATTCTCATAACCTATTCATCATCATCCAGTGGCTATATTCAAACAGAAGAGAGTTGTACTGCCAACTCTTTGTTATGCAAGCCCTATATCAAGCTTTGAGTGCTTCCGACTTCAGACGACAAATTTCTCCAAAGAATTCCAAGAAAACTTGTGCTTAAAACAACAGTCCACTTTGATCCTCAGTGGGATCAAAATATCTCAGAACAGATAAAATTGGATTACATTTCCCCGACACCCTCACAACAACTGCATCCCTTTTTCCATTAGATGCAGTAACTGATGTATCCTAAATCCTTCCAGCAACTGCAGAATGGGCAGCAATATCTGATCCTCAAGTTTCAAAGAAGAAGCTATCTTCCACATTACTGTTTTATGTTATCAAAAGTCTTAAATATGTGTGAGGTATAGAAGTTTCAAAAGCATACACCTGATACAGGTAAGTAAGATATACTATTTATTTGCACACAACTAGTTTTCTAAGGAATTCATTATTATTTGCACATTACTAGTTCTCTAAGGAATTCAATTTCAAACCTTCGAAGAGAATACTACTGATCTCATTTGACATCTGGAGTCAAAAACCAAACTTGGATTAAAAGGTGCCACAAGTCTTGAAACTCAGCTATTGATTTGAACTCTAAGTCAACCTTAAAATCTCAAATATTTTCCACTTAATATGACTATTGCAGAGTGAAATCTCATAACACTTTAAAACCAGTTTTAAGTGTTCTAATAAACCTACAGTAAAGCTTATATGTTTAAATATCACAGATTCATTACCCTGACACTTGAGCAGTGGAGAGAAATCTAAGTTTAAATTCTAAATCACATCCTAATTTAAATTGGAATTTAGACATTTAAACAAACATCAGTTAAAAACTTAAAATAGAAAAATTAAGTAAATCCCACAACTAAATCAATCCAAAACATTTTGGCAAAAATACAGAAAACCCATAGGTAATTCAGAGAATATATATAATTCTATCCAAAACAAAGAAATATCTAAAACCGAAAACAACTATCACATGATCAACGTAAAAGAACACAGCTTTAAGAACACCAAGAAAGGATGAGGCAGACAAATGTTATTCACATAAACATAACACGAAAGGATGTTATGGGAAAGGAATGGATTCTCTTTCAGACTAAAAATTGGTATAGAAAATCTCTCTGAATGGGGTATACATCTGTTTTAATTCAGACTTTTGTATAAACTCTAAAGTAAATCTGCTTACAAAAGAAAAATTATGGAATCTATGGTGAAGTATGAATTTGAACATTTGCAAGAAGCCTGGTGATTTTGCTAAGAGTTTCACGAGCAGCTACAGTGTCATGGTGATCTTCACCACAGATTGAAGTTCTGATAAAAAGAGCCTTCCTAATTAGATCATCAGCTATGTCAAACTGTCCCCCTCTAAGCATTAGTTTTGCCCTAGTTTCTAGGACTGTGGCTCTCGATAGCGCAAGCTCCTGCCAAAGGTAAGGATTCAACTGAGCATTAGTCGGGATCGGCCTCCAACAAAGTGATTTATCCAGCCACTTCTCAACGGGCGTAACAAATGCTTGGTCTGCTGCTTCCAGGGCATTGGTGCAGAGGCGCAGGAGCTCTAGAGCAGCATTGCAACGAGAGAATGTAATGAAGGTCCGTATTGCAAGAGGCAAAACTACTTCCTTGACAAGGTATAACAGATCTGACACCTTAAGCTCAACAACTATAGGGTCATGACTAAATCCAAATGTCAAGAAACAGGCTGCCCAGATATGTTCTGAGTGTTGAGATAATGATCCACGAGTGATGACAGCTTGAACCATGGCTTGTGCAACTCCAGTCACTACTCTCTTGCGAGCATATAGCTTGATGAGTTCATGGAAATGGATATGGTCTTGCCTGGTACTGCTCCTAGCAATATTAAACCTTAACAACATGGAAGTTGCTTCTGCTTCTGATTTTTTGGTGTATGATGTAGCAAAGCCACAAGTTAAAGAACGCAGCAACTTTCTCCATAACCAGGTCCCTTGATGCTTTTCTGGTATCTTGTGAGCAGCTAGGGCTAATAAAGAAACTGGAATTGCAGTTGGTGCAAACCAAGTACTTGCCTGGACCATTCTGGTTGCCAAGCTCCTTGGTCCATCCGCATGATCAAAAATCGAGAAACACACCTCGAAGAGTTGCAGAAGGAAAGTGTGTCGCCTCAACGAATTAACCTCTCTGCCGCTCCATGAAAACTCTTTTAAGGGCATTCTATTAGTGGTTTCCAATAGCTTACTTGGAAGAATGGGCAGCTCGGACAATATTGCACCTACAATTGCAAGTCCCAACGTTGACCGTCCCACTTTCTCCTCAATAGCTCGTAAAGCATCCAATTCTTCATTTTCTGTGTATTCTTTTACACTACCCTGCATTAGCGACATTGCCTCAGCCCCGGATAAGTATGAAAGTTTCAAAGGCTCCAAATTCATCACAGAAGGAAGGCGTGTGGAAATTATTATGTGTGTCTCTCCACCAAAACGGGGAAGAAGATCCATTACAAGTTTGTGATCCCACCAATCCTTTTCACTTTCTAAGTTATCAATCACCACCAAAAAGGGCATGTTTCTCATGAGTTCTCTGCGTACTCTAGCTATGGCTGCCTCTTCCTGATCTTCAAAGCTTTTGATCCTGTTTTTGTCCAAGCAATTTTCAACCCCAACATCAACTTCTAAGAACGACCAGAGATTCAGATAATTTTGTCTAATATACCTACTTTCCCCTCCTACCCACAAAACCATCTTGTACCTCTGGTGATATCTGTAAGCAAATTCAAGAAGAAGCTCTGTCTTGCCAATTCCTGAGTCCCCAGACACACAAGCAATCCCCTTCCCATACAATATCTTCGTTGATCTTTTTCTCCTTGCATATCTTGCACCACTTTTTGGCTTTGAATGGTGCTGTTTTTGAGGAAGCTCAGTGCTTTGCATCTCAATCTCTTTTTCTGACTCCTTCCAGACAACTGGTTCTTTTCCTTTTCTGCTGCCAATCTCCAATTTGCGTTCCCTTCGCCTTTCATCAAACGAACTGCTCCTACCCCACCCAATTGTCAAGTTCTTTCGCCTAGGCCTAGCCTTGAGCTCAAAATAATCTCTTTCTGCATCTCCACTGACATCGCCAAAAAGTATGAATTCCAGCTCAGAAAGTTCCTTCTTCCTACCAACAAAATTCTCATTTCGAGGG